ATGCCCCTCCCTAATGTGATCCTGTTTACCAAATAACAGTCTTGTATCTTATTGTGGAGCTTAGTTATGGCCATTTACTTGTTTTTGATTAACGGCGTTTTGTGAGCGTGGCAGTGGTCCGATTACGCCCATCTGCAATACCAACCAATATATATAGGTGATACCAACAACCGTTAAGTGAACAAAGATATTATGCTCTGTAGCAACAGGTTGCGAGTGTATAAACACAGAGAATAGGAACCAGTCTGAAAAACTCCAATTTTTAAATAGTAATCGAGCAACAAAGGAATACAACCAACTCAGTTCCTATTCTGATTAAAATCTAATTTTGTTATGAAAAAATAAAAGACAAGGAAATATTCTGTCAACCACTATCAAAATCTTTTCAAATACCAGCAAAAGCCCAAATATAATAATGTTTTACAAGCCAAACTTTTTTATTGTCATTATTTGAGGTTATTATCCTTTTTTTGAAACTTTTTATACCCTGAACAGGGCATATTAAGTACGCCGCGGAGTTTGTAACAACACCCAGAAGCAAACGTCGGCGATCCTATAAAATATATACATATTTGATCAGAAAGACGAATCTGTCCGTCTGTCTGCCTGTATATACACGGACTATCCCTCAGTTTTTGAGACATCGGTCTGAAATTTTGCACATGACGAACTAAGTCGATTTAGCGATGTCCGTCTGTTTGTATGTATATATACGAACTAGTCCCTCATTTTTGAGATATCGATGTGAAATTATGTACCCTGTTCTTTTCTCACCAAGCTCGTTTGTCGGCACTGCCGATATCGGACTACTATAGCATATAGCTGCCGTACAAACCTAACGATCGGAATAAAATGCTTATATGGAAGCCTTTTTCAATTAACGCAATGTCTTCACCAAATTTGGTAAAAGGATTATGTATTCTTTGCAATGTGATTATAAATATTTATATATGTCAAATATGTATATCCCGAAGTCGAAGTGAAAGCAAACGAGAAGTGTTATTTCATCACACAGCCTTAACGAACCATTGATTGGCGGAGTGTGTGTAGGTGGCGTAAAGGGTGAAAATCGCCATGAAGGCTGTGCGTAATTTCCTACTTTATTAAAGTAGATTTGTGCCAAGCGTGAAACAGCATCAATAATAACGGCGGAATGGCTGACAACCGAGTTATTTTATTCTTTTATTTATATTATTTTACTTTTGCTTTTGGTGTTTATGTTTTTATTGTTGTTGCTGCTGCTGCCTATTTGACTGGTAGTTAGGATTTTTCGCCAGGCATTTGTGCCAATTACATAAACCAATAAAAACTATTACATACACAAACACTCGCCGTTATGTATGGAAGTATGAATACATAAGGCACACTTGGCAGCTAAACACTTAAGCGCCTCAGGGGCTAAACGGCTTAGCAGCGAAAGGCGAACGAAATACTTACATCCAAAAAACAAAAACTGCAACAACGTTGGCGTTAGAAGAAAAAAGCAACAACAACAAAAAAATCAACGCCTTGACTGCCCGCACAACTACTGCTTTATCCGCCCCCCACGTCCTGCAACCGAAATGCTTAAATACTAATACACACTCATGTGTATATTAAACGCCTATTTAGCCGACATGTATCCGTATTTACGCATGTATGTGTGCATGTGTTTATTTGCATATTTCTACATTCATTCGTATATAAGCTTTTTATGGCATTAGTTTGCTAAAGGAAGCGGAAATGCGCGCAAAAGTAAAGGCGGAAATGTGGCGGCGTGCATTTCAATGTGCGTTCATGTGTGTGTGGCTACATAAACATCTACATCTATGTATGTATATTTATGAATGTTAGTTTGCTGTGCTCTTCTCCCTGCCTTTCACTTCGCTACTCTACTTCCCTCTAACCAAAACGTTCCTCTGTCCCTTTGCTTAAAGCGCTTAGTTTAAACGCTACAAAATCTTTGCTGGCCTTTTGACGACACAAAATGTGGGTATGTGTGTGTGTCTTTTTGCACATATGTTTATAGACGCAAATTTGCCTGCTTTTTGAGCCCGCGCAAATGTTAGTCACGTGCGCTTGGTTGAATCAGGCTCGACAACGGCACGACCAGTTTGTTACGAGATACTCAGTCAAACATTGAAATGGCGAAAACTAAATAGCACTAAATTTTAAGAAATATCTGTAAATAAAAATATATATTTTGAATATAAGCGCTGATTCTATGTTCAAGGTAAAAAAATAATGTGTTCGTTTCAGCTGTACATTTAAAAATTATCTTTAAACCACAAATATATGATTATTCCTAAATTCCTCTGCTGTTAATTACATCAAATGACACCTGCGCATCAATCCATTCGTCAGGGTTTGAGTTATTCTAATTTGAAACAGAAATCGGAGCCATTTCATCTAGGCGCTCCAAACCGATTGTTAGCTCTCTTCCTACCTGTTCCAAAAGCTTTTCAAAACATTCGCTATTTGGCTTTTTGTATTATATCATGTCCGTTATATTTCTGTAGTCATTATATAACATATAAGAATTAGTACGTTGATTCAAAAGCCTGTCGCATTATGAGAGCGATATCAACCATTGAGTATTTCTCATTTGGCTACGTAATTCAAAGCAACGCTTGTAGCATAAAACTCATACAATGGTCCAAACGTGATTTTTCCAATAACTATCAATCCCACAACCGAAAACACGAATTTGTTTAAACAACCGCGATTTACATATTTCTCAACATTGTCTCCTTTTAGCTTAATAAATTTGAGCCAGCGTTTCTCCACATTTTTTAATTCGTCTGAAAAATAAGTTTTCTGGTAGTATCCAAAGTAGGCTCTGAAACGTTGACCTCATTCGACGCACATTTCTGCCAGGCGAGCGACTTTTTCAAGTTTGGAAATAAAAGCAAGTCGAACAGACACAAATATGTAAAATAAGGTGGATGGAACAAAAGTTTTTAGTCTAGTTCGGTCTATTTGCAATTACCGCAATTTCTCATGCACAATATGTCACGCAAGTATGGCCCATATGGTCGTTTGAAATGCCTATATCCCGCGCCTTTAATCGACGATCTATCAATAGGATGTTATGAACTTTTGTCACACGCGACTAAGTTGAAACTCGTTGAACTTATTCGTGATAGAAGCCATCGAAAAGAATAGTCACCTTGTACAGCATTTAATCACTCCTGATATCATTGCAGATTTCTCTTCCAAACAACGAATCTAATACCGACCGATATTATATCGGCTTAAAATTTTACGATAATCGACCACGAGGATGTCCCACGCGATAGTAAATTTATCTGGCAATAGTGGAGCTATTAGGTGGTAAGGCTAAGTCATTATCGGACCGTCTTTGTGCCGAAATTTTAAGTTAAAGTTCGTTGCCAATCTGTCATTTTATCTTTCATATATTGTACATATGGGTATCTTTCTTCAGCTATATCTACATACAAGTACATTGAAGCATCAAGAATTATGTTTTCTATGCACGTTTTCGTAGTATCTCAAAGTTCATAGGCTCGCGGCTCAGTAAAGAAAAAATAATACAACTAATATTGATAAAATATATATTTCAATTCCTGTCTGGGTATTGCAATTCACTAATGTATGTATTCAAGTCATAACGCGTATCCAAAATTAATATACAAATATGCTTCAAGCAAGCTATTGTGAGAGATTTCATACCAATTTTATGAACTTTAAGATTTTTGTCAATTCTTGATAAAAAATTTAGAAATGTCCTTTTATATTTGTTAAAATTTCGTTTACTTTTAAAAATTTTGATGATTCTAAGTCATTGACTACAACTTTAATTATGAACTACTGGGAACTAGGAGATGCGCAATATTCTCACAAAATTACACCAAATTAATTTAAACTCAAAGGTATACTCACCCCCATAATCTTAAATGTATGGCAAATTCCAAATTCTTCTTAAAAATATTTAATTCCATTATTTTACATACCTAAAACAACAACTTTATACGAAATCAAAGTTTGGCCACCTTCATTCTTTCACAGTCTTCCGAGAGCTACAAAACAATCATCTTCAATAACTCGATAATCATATCCTATTGTGCCTAAAGACTAGCGCCTCAGGGGCCCCAAAGCTCAAAAGGAATGTCAAACTTTAAGCGCTTACGCTTTTATATTATTTTGACTCCAAACTTACCTTTGTATAACCTTTCATGCTAAGTTTTCGACCTTTGTTGTTGTGGAAAATAACGACACCTAAATAAAGAATTTTATTTAATACTCAATAAAACGGACTTTTAGCAACCAACCTTTCGAGCTCTTTTTGGGTTTTTCTTTTTATTTTTTGATTTTGTTCTTTACTTCAAATATTCGCTGCATTCCTTCGCAATTACCGTTATTTATTAACTATCCCTCATTTAAGATTTGAGGCGATGTGCCGCTGGCACGTTACAAAAAGTTTTAAATTCATTTGCACTGATTGAACTTATGGAGCACCCGGCGCCCCTACGCAGCTACATAAACACCGGGATATTTTACACACTGCCGGCTACCAATGAACCTTGAGCTGCATTCACTGTTCTTCGGTGACACAATGAATTTTTAATAAAACCTCAAATGGTAATTGCGGCCACTTGTGTTGAAATATTTATTTTTGAAAAGCGGACCGTTAAACGGGTGCAACAAACCCACACGCACACCAAGGTATACGAGTACACATACATGGATCTCGTCAACGCTATTGAGTTAAGCTCTGCGAACTTTTTTTATTGACTTTTAAAACTAAGAAATAAATAATAAAAATCAGTAGCCAAAATGATTTTAGTGCAGAGCGGGGAGAAGCGGTGTGGGTGTTTTGTATCTGGTTGTTGGTTGTTTTACGCCTTCAATTTGTTTGTTGGTTGCTGTTGGTGGTCATTGCTAATTTTATATGAACTTTTTATGATTCAGTCCCTACTGCGGCTCCACTAACTAATACTCAGAGACCCACACACATATATATATAAATATTTATGGATTTTCTTTTATTACTTTTATAGCGGCGAGACGTTCGCTGGCGGCGAGGCGGGCATGGCGGTGCCGGAGACCGTGTGCACGCCGCGTGCGATTGGCATCAGCGTCGATATTAATGTCTACGAGCCGCATCTGTTGGCGGGTACGATGGCGCACATGATTGGCCATAACATCGGCATGGGTCACGATGATGGACGTAAGTATAGTATAGTTATTGCAATTATTGCACACACATACATATTTACTTATTTATATATACTTGAGCGCACCGCAATCGAAATTTGAATGCACCCACGCATTCATATACACACACCAACCTTCATTTTTAAGTCGACGTTCTAAGGGAAATTGAGTTACTTGATTTTTGTCGTTGTTGTTTTTTCATGGCTCAAAACTGTCGCCACATTAAATTTATACGCTCTCATTTGGTTGGTAAACAGTCTTAATGGCATACCAAAATTAATCGCGCCATAAAATTGATTTATGACATCGGTGTATGGCCTTGTTTTCGCCGCTGTGCATTCATCAATTTTTTATTGTAAATTTATAATAAATAATAATATAAATAAAGTAAACAGCGCATTTATCTATTGAAATGGTGGCTTGTCTTCGCGTTGTTTCGGAGAAAAGATTAATTTGCAACGCCATTTTATGTCGGTGAGTTTTAATGGTTCGGCGAAGTGCTGATTTCTCTTATCATCAACATACTCTTTCATAGAATTTTTATTATAAGTGTGTATTTATGTGCATTAAATCAAAGTTAGACTCGTATTTTTATATTATTCTATAAATGGCAAGGGACATAACTGTTTTGATTTCTCGGCGAATCAGTTTCATGCGCATAAAATTTAGTGGCTTCTGATTGCTGGAAAGCTCTCTAAAGTATGGTTATATTCCTATTAAATGAATAAGTTGTTTGGTTTTATTTTTTTTTGTTAAGTTTTGTTGTAGAAAAATAATAATGCATCATGAGAACGATGTAATCAAATTGTAAAATACCTTCTAAATAACTACAGACCTTATTCGTTAAGAGTTAACATCAATAGTAAAAACACATCACGCCTAAACTCGTACAGCTGACCAAGATATGGATTTGGTCTAAGGATCGACGTAACGGGATTTTCTTAACGGGTCGAAAATGTCAAAGTGTAGATCGCAAATAAAATTAAGGTTTTTGAAAAACAAATTTCTCACAATAATGCTTAACTTATGTTAAGAGGTGGTATTTTTATTTAGAGGCCCGAACTTAGAGCGTTTTTTGATAATGTATAAAAAATGGGCAACTGATATTTTTACTATCCATTTTTTATCTTTTCTTAATTCATATTTCAAGAGTACAATAAAAAAATTAGAAAAATGTTAATTAGTTTTAGAATAGACATTAACTTTAGTTGCACCGAAGCAATAATATTGCGAGCTTGTACCGTTACCTTGAACATTAACCCATGCCAACTTTCATGAAGAAGCTGTTCAGAAAAAAGCGCAGCTTCTTAAGGAGACAAACTGCCCTGAATTAAAAAAAAAAGTTTTTCCAAAAGTTCTGCCTCGTTAAAAAAGAAGGCGGCCGCGTCATGTTTACCACTACAAGGTAGATCTTGTGGTTATCTGAACATGCAAAACAATGGCGGATTATTTATTTTAGCAAAACTAAAAAAAAACAAAAGCTACTCAAATATAAAGATCGGAGTTTTCAGTAATATTTTTAATTTTCTTGAATTTTTTTAAAAATACAATATTACCCACTAGAAATTATCAGTTTTTTAATTGAATAAAACCTATCGAAAAAGGGTTTCAAAATGTATTGCACAAGTATCAGAATATAATCAAAAACAACCAAACAACTGAAGTACTAATGCAAGAACAAAAAATGCCTCTCTGATTAGGAGCAACATAAATAATGGAATGTCATCATTTTCTTTTGACAAGTTTCTATAGAATAGCGCATAAATTGTTGCAGTTCTTTACTTTGTAAATAAGGTCTGAAAATCTTCCATAGTAAAAAGCGAACTTAAGAATACTTATGCACGTTTTTGATTATAAATAACCGGTTTAAGAGATTTGAACTTTTTCGTTATCAAATGGTGGTTCTACAATGTCGTTATATAAACAATAGATTATATTTTAGAAGAGATTGTGATATTTTACATTATTTTATAGGCTCGGTATCCCCAAAACAAAGCATACGATGATGAAATATTTTATTTTATTTTGTAAAATGTTTCCTGGATATATACAACCAATCTATACTAAATATCAATATTAAAAACATTAAATTTATCAAAAGTTTTATTAGTTCAATGTATGGATACTCTGGAAGACAATATATAATTTATATATCTAGAGCTGAGAAAAGTAGTTCAACTAGTAACGAAGGAAATATAACAATATGTTAAGGAAACCAATAGAAAAGTGATTTGAAGCCCAAAATGTATGTTATGTTTACTCTGTTATTCTTACTTTAATATATTTATTATTCCTGCTTTTAGAAAGTTCATTTGAATATAATTTGCTTTTAAAATATTCAAACCATTCACGGCGCCGCAATAATCACTTGTGATCTATTTCGCTCTGCTCACTCACTAATGTGTCTCCCGGCGCACATTTAATAATTTTACGCACAAGAATATTTTGTGTATGAAAAAAGAAACAACTAATATAAATCAACAATAAAACATTTATACTGTGCTATGCAAAAACAACAACAACAACCATTTATTCAACAATGCGAAGTGATTTTCAAAATCACTCACAACCACACACAGGCACATGGCACGAGGCTTTGATCCACCAGTGTTTGTGTGTGTATATATATTTGTTTGTATTTGCGGTATAACAATCGAGTGAATTGCTTGATTTATGATGAACGCTTACGCCATAGCAAAATCAGCGGACAAATCTGAAAACACAGTTGAAGGTGGATTGCCTCCAATAACTGTAAAAACATATTTTATAACAAGCATTCTGTATTTTTGTGCGTTGCGGCTGAGAGGCGTGCTTTCGATTCACAAACATCCATTACTGACTTGAGCCATCAGTGATGACCAAGCTGGTAGACACCACTTCGTTAGTTGGTTGTGTGTGTGATGGATAATAATATGCAAACGCCCGTCGCACTCAGCTCAATACGCTTTCATGTATGTGTATGTGTGCCTAAAGTGGAAATGCATTTGCTTTTAATGGAAATTCATAAATTTGATTTCAAACAAATAACTGCGGCTGTGGGCGCATTTGTGTTCTTTTCTATTCATCATTTTAATTTTATTGGACAAACATACACACACAAACTTCCCTTAAAGGTAAATAATACACAATAAAAATAAAAAAAATTATTGAAATAAATAAAAAAGAAATGGCAAAAAAGCGATTAATGTTGCTGTTGTTGTCAGCAATAAATATATATACATATTGATATATATATATGTGTATGTGTGCTTGCGTGTGGACGCCAGGTCATTCAAATGAATGCGCAATCATGCACACACCTATTGAGAAGCGCATAACAAAATATTGTACACACTATAGTAAATATTTGCGCATCAAAACTTATGCTTGACTGGATAAGCAGCGCTATCCCAAGAAGGTAAAGGCACACATGAAATTTTGATATTTTAACTTGATTTGCTTTTCGAAGGCTACTGGAACTAAAAAAATGTAATTAAAATTAAAAATAAAACAAATAATATAATAAATAAAACAAGAAACACTTATACTTCGACTGTACCGCAGCTGTAATACATTTCACAAATAAAAAATTTTCCATACAAGAACTTGGATAAAAATACGGGTCCGTCCCGGTTACTTAGAGCCGACTGTCGTGAAAACTTGATTTGGATCGGTCAGTTCCTATGGCAGCTATGTGCTATAGTTCTCTGATCTGAACACTATATTCTCCTTGGACAATAATCCAAGTCAAGTTTCGTGAAGATATCTTGTCGAATAAATAAGTTTTCCATACAAAAACTAGATTTTGATCGGTCAGTTTGTATGACAGGTATATGCTATAGTGGTCCGATATCGGCAAATTCCAACAGTTGAGCAGCTTCTTCGGAAGAAGGGACTTGTGAAAAATTTCAGATCGAAGTCTCCAAAAAGGAGAGACTATATAGACAGACAAGACTTAATCGACTCAGCTGTTCGCGTTTCAGAATATAATAAGAGCAGGTATAAGAAAACCGCCAACAACATTTAAAAGTAATATAAGACATAAATATTTCAAAGTGAAGTTTTCGTAACACAGCAAAACATGGAATGTGTATATATTTAACTCAAATCCTTCCTTCTCGACTTAAGAAATTATTTTATTTAATGATAAACCTTTCCCAAATATTAATTTATACGCTTTGTGCATAAGATTTATTTCCAAAACATCTTCATATATGCATACACACATCTGCTTTCGTATTCAATGTTCTAATTCATTTTTCTTTTATCACAGGTGAAGAGTGCTTCTGCAGGGACTGGCATGGTTGCATAATGGCCCAATCGATTGTTGGCCAGGAGAATGTGCAGCCTTACAAATTCTCCGAGTGCAGCAAAAAGGATTATATCGATGCGCTGCGCGCCGGACATGGGTTGTGTTTACTCAATAAGCCGAATGAGGTGAGTCTTAGAGAAATGGAACCAAAAAATTTACTAACCTTATTAAGCTAGTTTTAAAGCCGAAAAACATAATACATGTAATTGTGGCTGTTGAAAATGCTATTGGCTTTACCACGGTGGAATGCCATAGTTGAGTTTAGAAAGTTCGAGCCATTAAGTGTTAAATAACATTTATAAGATAACAGGTAATGTCATATTTACAATATATATATATTTCCACTATATTCTCTAATGAAGAAGATTAACTTATTATCGGATTAATACTAAAAACACATACTAATCGCCGAGTGTATAGAAACGATACTTCCTACAAAAATATCTGTATTGGTAGTAGAGAACAGCAGCATTCAACTTGCAACTTTAAATAATGATTCAAATATGGAGATTATTGTTACCTCAGCAGGATGCCAGATCTGAACTAAAACGTCTGTATAACAGTAGCTTCCGTTACAAAGACAATATTAATGACAGTTTCACAAGCAATAAGATAGATATAGACTAATTTTTGTGATATTGATCAAATAGACTCTACAAAAATGGGTACCGCAAGCGGATTGGACCTAACATCAATCTTCTTAAACTATCACAAAAGCTTTACTAAAAGGACCCATACCTTTCTGTCGAAGTTCTCGTGGAAAACTCCTTTCGGTGGTAAGCAGGAACTTTCTTGATTCTTGAACAATACTTGTTTGATTGACCGCCCGGATCTGCTGACCACCCTCATCTCCTCAGTGATTCGATTTAATGGGTTAGATATTTTTATGAGACGCTGTGAATAAATAGGTCAACAACTACACCCTCACGCCGTGCTTAAAACTAGCCACGGCAGCCACTTGTCTTAAGCATTTTTTTATAAATAATGAAAAAGTTTAATAAATAATCAGGTAAATTAAGTTGAAGAAAATTGAAATATTGTGGTTCAATGTAAACTAAAATGCCGGCGGTTAAACATAAAGAATCTTTAATTTTATTTTTGTCACTTTCTTATGGCATTTTTGTATTCTTAATTTTTCACTACCAGCTGGTGAAGTGAAGAAATATTACAGAATTCCTTTTTAAAGACAATTGAAATACGACATAAGGCATAAGACGAAGCTTGTAAATTGCCCAATTGATTTTTGTGAATTCAAAAAAAATAAAAACTCTTGTATCGATTGTTTTTCATATGTTTAAAGAATACGTAGTAAAATTAAAAAATAAATAAATATTTTTTGAGTTATAGGCCTCCACTGCTGCAGTGATTCCGGCTTTCTCCGTGGCTAAATAACTCAGCTCATCATGCTGATCATTGAAATATATATATGTTATAAGGTCTCCGACGTTTCCTTCTGGGTGTTACAAACTTCGTGGGTATAAAAAAAATCTAAAATTGACAGAATGGCCCCAAATATTTTTCGTTTTTGGCCTGCTTTTTGATCAAATCGAAAAACTGATTAAGTCATTTTATATTATATACAGAATAGGCAGACAATTTTCATGATGATCGGATTATTTGTCGTCGTTTTATCACTGCAGCATATTGGAAAAGGCAATTTCAATAAATATATTGGTCTGGATATAGCTGTGCGGCTACCTTTTAAATGGTTGTAACTCAAAATCTATTTTTATTATTTCAAAATCTCGCACTAGGTGTGCCCCTTAAGTCCAAAAGTTTATCTTGAATATAGAATATTCTCAAGCGGATCTGAAATCTTAATTTAAAGTTCGACCTGACGGTAGGTACCAGCTACTCGCTACTAGCTACAATACTACTTTCCTTTTAGATGAGAGATCTCACCAACTTTTGACTATAGTGGTCTGTCAGACATTAAAACAATGTCTGTAAATGGTGACCTAAAGATCTACTCGGATTGTTTATCAGAGCTTTTTTTTCAGAACGAAAAGCATTGATCTATTCCTCCTCAACATTATTGTCTAGCTGAAGTAGCCCCACTATGCTAGCGCAAATTTATATTATCGAACTCAATAGAATTGTGCTGCAATATTTAGGTTGTTTAAAAATGTTTGACAGATATTCATATCCATAACGGCACTTGAATTCCCGGAAGAGTCGACTATTTTCAGAACAAGGCGAAATTCAGTGAAAAAATGTCAAAAAAGATAAAAATTACAAACAAAAGATTTTTCGCAGAAATGAAAACAAGCGGCGAGTGCATTTCCAAACGTACAAAAATTTGTCTTAGATAGCAAACAACAACAACAATTTGAGAAAAAAATTAAATCAAAACGAAGCAGAAAAACACTTGTGTACATTGTGTGCCATTTTCAACAACAAAGAAGCACGATCAAGCGTATTGCCTCAAGATGAATGCAGCAGCAGCAGGCACGTGTATTCACCACTGACAATGCTACGTTCAACATGCAACTCTCAAGGCAAGCGAAATGTTAGCTGTCTTAGCCACACCCCTGTGGCACTAAGTATTGGCGCTTTACAGTGTTTGCACACACCAGCCATTGGCACTTGCTGTTTGCTTGCATTGCATTGTTTTTGCATATGCGTTGCATGTTCGTTTGGAATGTGGCACAAAGCTTCAGCCAAAATCGTGCAACAATAGCATAGCGCTAGTGTAAGAACCAAGAGTAAACAAACAAACAACAGCAGTGCAGGAATGATGACAATTTTTGCATAAACGAACACGCATGCACACACACATGCACCTACATCAATAACCACTCAACGTCAACGAGAACAAGCATGAGACGGCGGAGAGGCAGTAGAAGGGGGTGGATGCCTATGGCGTGAAAGTGCAGCACTTTTAGCTTTTGTCTCGATTTTTTGGCACTAGGTCAGTTGCAAGAGCGGCAACAACAACAACCGTTGTGACAGTTGAAGCTGCAGCTTTGTTGTTTTTATTGCTTTTTTTCTGTAGTTTTAGCGTCGCTGGCGCATTTCTCACAAATGTATTCGGCATCATCGCATGAGCGGCTTTGCGCCAGCATCAACGCTCCCCATGATGTAGCAGTCTTTTAGCCGCATTGTATGCATGCACACATTTACATAAATAAGCATGAGTTTCTTCGCATAAATAACTCTTTTGTTTTGAGTGTTCTGGCAAGGAAGAAAAGTGACGAATGTGTTGAAGATGGACAGAGAAGCCTCAATGGCGGCCGCAACTTGCCACTACGGCTGAGCGTGGCTTGCTAAGAAACTATTTTTTTTTGAATTATTACTTTTGTTGGAGGCATTATTATTATTATTTTTTTTTTTTGTAATTCTCTTCTCCATTGTCATTTCTTTCGGTAAAACAGTATTTGCTTCGCTGCTCTCGCTCGCCTATATACGAAGGAAGGCTTAAGCCAGCAGAAAATAATTCCGTCTGAGAAAAAGTCACTGTTTTGAAAACATTTAGTCTGTCTAGAATCAATTTCAAACGGTTTGATGATTAAAAGGCAATAAGAAATACGCTGATAACCTAGTCTTGTTCTTCTGCCAATAAGTTTTAAGCGTTTTCACTCAATGATTTTAATGAATATTTTATAGTAAATATAAAAGCATAGCATTAGCTGAAACCTTAGGAATGTTTTATGCATATGTGTGTACAAATATTTAAGTGTATAATAATTTTTAAGGAATTTCTTTGAGTAACACCAAAGATACTAGCTCCATATTTCAGATTGAGCATATTGTGTATATTCCGGAAATCGGTACTTTCATTAGAAATAGAATGTGATTGAAATTTACTTGTCTAATATACCTATGTCGCGTTTTCATATGAACTAAAATGCTTTCTAACAAATAGAAATTTGAAACAAAAAACCATGATTTTTCCTATTTTTGTAACTTGTACGATTTCAAAAAGTGGTTTTGAGAACGCGTTTGAAAATACTTATATGTAATATGAAGGACTCGCTATATACTCACTTTAATGGTTTATAACGATCAAAAACTTCAAGTTGTCATTTAAAATTTTGGCGCATAACCCTATTTCTCCCTTGGAGATTGCTTTTAAGAGGAAGACATTATATACGAGTTGATACTTTAAATACTATTTTTTATCTTTCAACCAAGAAAATGAAACTTTGTCAGTGCGGTCCTTAAAGGGCAGGTAAATAAAAAACATCATAAATACTTATAGTGAAGCTTACAGACCATTAAGTGTTAGCATTTATCATACCATTCTCACAACAAGATAATCTTAGACCTAAACTATCATCACAAAATCGGGTTTTAAAGCTGTTGTTTAAAGTCTCCAGAAATTGTTGGTTGGATACGTCTTAATCATCTTTGGAATCTCAATTTTTCTCTAAAGGAGGCGTAATCTGTACATGAGTTATATATGCATTTACAAAGAACTAAACACATTTTTTAAAAAATACTTAAAAGTTCTTCATATACTGGAACCTTGTATAAAAGTTCCAGCGTTTAAGTTTTCAATTTTGAAATTTCTTGGAACCAGAAACGGTGAACGCTTAAAAACTAATTTTTCAATTTTTAATTCCAACATTTTTGTTTAAAAATCAATTTTTTTTGTTTTCCATCAAAAATTTTCTGCCCTTCGCTACGCTTTTAAGTCCAAATTGTGGAAAGGATGAACATAGAGTGAGAGCACGACACAATTTTAAGCTGCAGTTTAACAACGGATTCCAACGAAAAGGTTTTATATAGGCTATTGTGTTTAACATTTTTTTTGATAAAAATGAATTTAGAATATATTCAATTAACGGTGGTCCTTCTCTGAGATTATGAATTGACGCTAAAACTCTGCTTTATTCCAAAGAAATGAACTTTTTCAAAGACTTTTTTGATCCCACTGTGCAAAAATCTTCTATCGATTTGAAGAATGTCTAATTTTTCAATTCGACAATCAGATTAGTTTTCAAACCACCGCTCTGCAGTTTTGAGATTTTCTATATGATATCTATATACTCGTTCCTTAAAAAAAAAGTATTTTTAAAAAATACAATACTTTCAAGGAATTTTTGTACTTTAAAACTCCACAACTTTAATACCTTCTACAAAGTATACCAAATTTGCCACAATATTTGTAACACCCAAAAAGAAATGTCTGAAATAAATAAAGTATAACGTACACGTATAAATGATCAACGTGAGGAGCTGAGTCGACTTAGCCATGTCCGTCTAACTGTCCGTCTGTAAAAAACTCGTAAAACACGATATAGGATAATAATTTTGCATCGCGGATTATTTTAAGCATACAATACGAGGGTTGCCTTTTGTATTTTAGGATTAGAGAACAGAAATAAATATTAATCATCGACAATCGCATTATTGTTTTTCAAAATATTCTCCAATAAGACAACTGCAACATCAGTAGTTTCCAGAACAAAAACTGATTTTGGACAACCTTTACGAAATTTGTCTTAGAATGATCTACGACCTCGAATGAATTCACCACACCATCGATAAACACTGGTCCTTGATGGAACTGAAGCTCGTCAAAAATTTAATTAAGTTCATCGATGCTCTGTTGCAAAGTTAATCCAGGTCGGGATAGGCCGAGATAAATATTTGAAGTTTCTGTAAACAACACAAATAGCACTTGCATGTCAAAACATTGTGTGTAACATCAAAACTGTCAAATTTTACGATAAAATTACGAGTTGCCAGATTCCAATACTAGGGTTGGCAAATCCCAAAATATAAAAGGCAACCTACGTATTTTAAAGCTTTGAAATGCAAGACTCAAAATTTTTTTAAATACATGTATATTTTTGTATTTAACTAAAAAACATAGATTCAAGTAAAATAAAATAATTAAAAAATTGCCTTCACAATTTAGGTTTCTCAAAAAAAAAAAACTTCAAGTTTTGTACCTAATTTTGTGGTTAAATTTCTGGTTCAATATTTTAAAAGCCTTGCAGGGATATCGTTTTGCTGCATATATCTTCATTTTAACCCACAAATTCGATATTAGTTTTGATTGGCTTACTCTAATATATATATATATATATACCATAAATATATTTTATATGTAGCACCTCTTAACAAATGCAAACATATTGCGTTAAAAATACAATTTATTGAGTGTTCATAATATTTTTAAATTTAACATTGGTTACCAACTAGCTACGAAAAATAGCGGTTATCAACTAGTTTGTTTTGTAAAACCAAACATATTCTTAAAAGGTGTGTACACTGCTATAAATGCATGAGCACACACACATGTCCGAGTGTTGGTGTGCGTTTATTTGCATTTGCTGCCAATGCGTGCGCCTCTTCAATTTTTATTCCTTTTTAGCCGCAGTCATGTGTGAACGCAACGACCTCGTTCGTGGCAATTTTGTTGGCTGCGTTTTTTGCTTTGTTTTTGTTTTGTTTATTGTTCCAACATTCAGTCACACATTTGCACGAAAATTTGCATTTACAAACACACAAACATACTGACAGCAAAGCGTTGCAAGCACTCGTTGCGTTTTGCAGACACTCGAAGCGTTTCAGCTTTTGTATAAGTGCTGTACTTGTATATGTGTGTGTACGTGTGATGGCCTGCTGAGGTTAATTGTGCCCCGAATGCAGCACTCGACACTCGAAACAACAACAACAAAAGCGGTACTACCGCGAGCCCCAAGACACAGTCAGCCTCGTTGCGCGTTGCTCGCTGCGCTGAATGCTGCCACATGTGCCCACCGCCAGCCACACAGCAGCACCAGAATCAGCTGGGGAGGAGGTCGTCTGCATTCAAATCCTGTTAGCAAAATCTGTTTTCTGTTTTTCTTTCCGATTTCATTTTCATTTCAACTTTTTTCTTTTTCGTTTTCATTTATACTTCTATTTTCATTTTTGTTTTTGTTGCTTTTTGCAGTTCTATACTGCATTGTTATGTCGCCACTCTCATTGCCGCGTGCCGCTTTCCAACCAATGTTGGCAGGTACACTTCGTCAGGCCACGCTGGCGTATGAGTGACTTTCACTGCAGTTTGGAGGTTGCAGTTTCACAGTGAAACTTGTGGCGGTTGCACGCGTGACCCGCTATAACGGTTTCGCCAAATTAGAGGCGGCTATAAAAAGTGATACTATTTGTGACATTTTTTGAGTTGCATTGTGGCACTTGATTGAGACAGCAAGACATTCTAGACAATCTCGTGCGCAACAACAAGACAGCAATTTATCTAATTGGATTATGTAAGCGCTTTCAAGCAAATTGAAATATTTATTTTGGGAAGTGAAATAAAATTGCAAATATGTGGCTTGAAATAACGCTTGATATTTATAATTGAAAGTGAAGTGAAATTGTTAAAATGTTCATTTAAAAAGTGAGCTTCAAACTACTGTTATAATTTGTTTGTGACTTTTCTAAAATCATTGTCAAAAATTTTTACTAAAATAACTTTTTAGTGTAAGTTTTAAATACTACCAGTAAAATCTTCAGACAACCACAAATTTTTTTAATTTCGAAACACTTTTTTCAACTTCACAGATCGAAATGCGTCGCAATTGTGGCAATAAGATCGTCGAAGAGGACGAAGAGTGTGATTGTGGCACGATTGAGGAGTGTGCCTTGGATCCATGTTGCGATGGCATCACCTGCAAGCTGAAATCAGAGGCTCAGTGCGCCAGTGGCGCTTGTTGTAATGAATGTCGCGTAAGTATTTGCATTTGTTTTTCTAATTATGATGCGTAAGATTTGTGGGTTTATGGAAAAGTTTTCATAGTTCATATAAAATAAAATATGGTCGGGTTAAACCTTCAATACTTTGCTTTGGTTTGTTGTTTCAATTTCAGTATTGAACTAGAAGAAGCTTGGGAACTCTACATTGCCCAATAATACTATTAGAAGAGATCAAAATCAAATTTGTTTCCGTGTTTAAATGAGGAACTTTTTTTTTTAAAGCAGCTCGTGCATTTGTATTTTTTTTGTAAGTTAAAAATCATAGTCCTTTGATTTTTTTCCAAAAACTATTATTTGAAGATATTAGTTCTAAGTTATGTAGAGAAATATATAAACAAGTGCACAAAACAGAGGATCATCTCTATAAAGCCAATAAAGTTTCATAACTTTTTGCCGGATTTTTCTAAACCAAAAACCACTACAACAAATATATTCCACTTACCACCCTTTCCGGTGTTCACTGCCTTATAGCATTAATCTAGTTAAAAATTTTCTAGATACGATTAAAACTCAGCAAAATTGTGTTATAATATTATATTTTTCTTTACTAACACATATATTATAGATTTCTTTCACTATGTAGTCTGCAAAAAAGCTTCGTTAACATTGTTCATATAACTACTCTATATTAACTCCGAAAGTCTTTTATCGAATACGTAAGGACTATACATATCTCACCATATTAATATGAAAAATGTTGGCCATTTATTAGATTTCTATTTTTTTTTTCTGCTAAAAACAGAACTCTCTCTTCGGTTTCCGAAGCTTGACTTTGACAAAAACTTACACAACAACTTATAATAAGTTCTAAGGAAAATGCAATACCTGGCAACCACGAAATTTATTATCCTCAGTATTGTTCACCAAACCATTAGCAATGTACATACTTACAAAAAAAATTATAATTTTCCTGTTTCTCATAGGAGTAGTTTCTGCCTTAACTTGATCATAGGTTAGGTTGGGTAAATAGCGAAAACTGGACAGTAGAGGAAAAAGTGTCTGGATATTTCCACCTCAGCTACCTCTATGCAACTGCGATAGGCTGTCGCCACCAAAATCTTTAGCTTTACCGCGTGAATACCTAAACAACAATGTCCCGCTAAAACACATATCATTGCGGGATGTGAACCTGGCTAAAGCCAAGTAGGTCTATGGCCCTCTCGAATTGTACTACCCCTTGTGTAGATTTCTAAAAACCCTAATAAAACGAAATTGTAGTTTAAGGCGAATGTTTAATGTACAAGTATATAGTTTCGTGAAAATGCGGTAACTTTAGTTAATTGTGAATAAAGGCAGCCATTTACGATTACATTCTTGCCCCTCAATCTAGCAAGTACCGATAAGATTGAATTAAAAAGTACAATAAATTATCCCAAAAAAACTAGTTAAATGCCGACTATGGATTAAACACACCTTTCTGTTACCGAGCAGAGAAATGATTAGATAACTAATTCCTTACTCTAATCTCTAATTTTAAAGAGCGACTCGCGTAACAGTAGAGACACATCGAGTACTCAAACAAAATGGTACAAATTCTGCAAAAGAGAGAATTAAAGTTCTTCTATCAATTTTTTATCTTTCTTCTCATTGATATTCCAATTTTTTATTCCAAATTTATGTAAGCAGGCTCCATTTAGATTCTATATGTAGTATAATACAAGCCTGGTGCTTTTGGCTGTTGAATATTTTTAAAATAACACTAGTTAGCCAATGAGTTAATCGGAATAGTAATTGGTTTGAAGGGGATTATTTTTATACTTATATTTATTTTAGTAAAAACAGATACATACCTTCGTCGACAAACCTCTGAAAAGAAATCTTCTTCGTGCTGACCTTTCCTGTACTCCTATTATCTAAAAATATAATATGAGAGCCATTTTTATAACATATCTAAGAGCTGGTTATAACCTATTTGAAGTAGAGATTATTTAAAAAGGGGGTAGGGTTAATTCGTGTAAAACAATGGTCATTGTTATTGTTTTTTTTATGAAAGAGTTAAAATATATTTTTAAAACCAATGGTTCAATATAGTGTGGGATCATGGAGAAATATTAAAAAATGCAGCAATGGCAGCAATTATTCTGAATCGTCTCGGAAATAAGTTAAATTGCCTTGTCCTTCATAACTCGAAACATCTGAAACAAAACAATGAAAATTACATTGTAACCAGAAAGATTCCGGAAATTTTCATTTAAATTGCCTGCGCTGAATATTTTTTTTTTTGTTAAGTTGATAGTATTGTCCTTAGTTACTATGCCAAAAATGAGCGCGATCTGTGAACCAGTTTTTTTGCAGCTGCTGTTGAAATAAGTCGACGTCAGTATTGTTTTGCGATTTTTACAATGGAAAAAAATATCAAACAAAGAATTTGCATCATATTTCTGTTTCGAATCAAAGTTCGTGCGAATGTTAGAAAGGCTTATGGTGAATCCATTTTATCGAAAAACCAGTCTACGACTGGTACAAAGCCTTTAAGGATAGTCGAGAAACCGAGGTAAATGTCTGGTTCCGGTCGTCCTTCGACGTTTATTACTGACGATAATAAATCGTCATGCGAATGTTAGAGAGAAGCTAAACGTCGGCCGTGAAGCAGCCGATAATCTCTAAACACATCAAAAGGAAATATTTTCTGTACCCACAAGTCAAATCATTCTTTTATTTTGCTTTTCTTCGTTTAACGGATTTATTTTCATTTTCATTCCTTATTTAGCTTCGGCCAAAAGACTATGTCTGCCGTGATGCACTCAACGAATGCGATCTGCCAGAGTATTGTGATGGCGAAATTGGTCACTGCCCAATGGATGTATTTCGAAAAAATGGATCTCCGTGTGGCCACTCGAAAGCAGGATTGTCGTCCGGTAAGTTAACAGTTTACCTATGCGAATTTTATATGAATATATACATATATATATATATAAGCCATATATATATTATTTAAGCTTAGTGGACTGTTCTTACATGTTTCTTATATTATCTTATTTGATATTTTTAATATGTAGAATAATAAAAACTAAATATATTGCTGCATACTGAAAGTGATGCCCTGTGGCACATGTTCATTTTTGACCATATATATATATTTATTACATATGTATTTGAAATATGGCATATTTTTCAAATAATGAATAATTTTTCTTACTTATTTTCCATCGCAAGGCTACTGCTTTCAAGGCGATTGTCCCACTTTGAATCTGCAGTGTGAGGCGATTTGGGGTTATGGTGGTGTGGCAGCAGATCGCCAATGTTATGAGCAATTTAACTCGAAGGGTTCGATCAACGGTCATTGTGGGCGTGACTCCAATGAGCATTATATTAAATGCGAGCCAGAGTGAGTATTTTCATGTTTTTGTATAGTATTTGTATATCTTTTATACATCTTAACTATGAATATAAATATATTACATTCAATTGATAAGTAAAAATATATATTATATTAAAATTTTAACGCTAATTTTGTAAAATAATTTCTCCGAATAGCTGGAAATTAAACTCAATTACTTTATGAAACTGATTCAACATAGCGTTTGGTCTTTGTTGCGAAAATATAGCATATTGATTTCATTATCCCTAAAATAGCATTGCTATTATTCATATTACTTTATAATCGGCTTTTTCAGCTAAATTTCAATTTGCAATTTTCTATTTGTCTCTCTGTTTTGTTTGTAAATATGTAATGATGTTTATTTTCCGCTGTTTATTTGTAGAAATGTGCAATGTGGCACATTGCAGTGCAAAGAGGGCGAACGCCAGCCAGTTAATGATGGTATTGATCAGCTTTATTCGAGCACAGTTATCTCAATCAAAGGCACGGAATATACATGCAAGTAAGTTTACACACACACTACCACATAATTTGCTATGAATTATGAAAAGTTTGCTTTCAATGTGTTACAAAACGTTATTTTGTAAAGCTTTTTCTTGAAACGAAGTTGGTTTGATTTATGGATTTAAATGTCAACGTTCTTTACTATGAAGCTTACGGAATTGGTACACATTTTTGCTTTTTCACAATTAAAAATAATAACAATATTAATTTGCTCTCGGTTTTTGTTTTTTGCTAAATTTTATCTGCGCATAATTCCCGAAATAGAAATTCTTATCGTTGGATTTTAAACCTACTTATCTGCAAACCCCACAAAATAGTTTCCGTTATTAATTTTTTAATTCAAACCACTAAATTTGTAAATTTGAAAAACAATTTCTTAAAAAATGTCCGCTTATAATTGATTAAGGGTCACACTTAGTGTGACAGCCTAAATGAAGCTGATTTTCGGAAATATATAAAACAAACATAGTATTATAAGAATTTCGAAATTCGACAAATGTGATTTCGAAAAAAACGCGTCTAAAAATGAGCTGATGCAGCTGATTAAACTGAGCGGTCACATGATCGAAGGCTGTAACTCAAAGACAATTTCAGATATCGATATTTAATAAGTTATTTGTAGAGGTATATCCTTTCTAAATATGAAAAAAAATTATTTCGCATTAGCTGCACCTCTTACGTATTTGAAAACTTAAAAATAATAAAAGAAAATCAATACTTTTCTGCATATTAATTCTTTTATTATCAATAACATCATTATTTTAACGAATTGTAGAAGAACTTTTTCTACTAAAATCAATATCTTCAACAGTTTCTTCTAAAATATTGTTGTAAAGCGTAGTTTATTTTTGATATGATGGAAGGCTTGTTTGCCAATGTTTCGAATTTTGGTTGCCCTTCGCAAAATTTTTTTGCTAAGCAATCTTAGGTATATTCATGGTACCAAATATATACCATGATTTAAACCAGTGTTGCTTCGAATAGAACTTTTTTAGTCACTGTATATAACTATGCAAAGTCTAAGCTTTCAAAACTAAACTAAATACATATAGTTTTAAATATACTTAAAAAACAAAGAAGAGAAACGACTATATTTTTTTTAAGTATAAAAATTTTATTAAAAAAAAAACCAACTAAACTGAAACAAAGGCTTTTATTTTGAGACCGAGAAACTGTATTGGGTTTGAAAAATAATTTTTTGGGTGATAAAATCAATGGGAACTATATCTATTTCTATTTAAAGTCGAATTCTTATAGTGTAGAGCGCATGAATTCAAAGTAATTAATTATCTTTACATGCTAGATATTTCGTATAGAATAAACTTCAAAAAATTGTTTGGTGTGACCAGAAAAATATAAGTTCACAAACAAAGCGCTCATAAAATAACTAAAATTATGTTCTTAACATTATTTAATTATCAAATTGCTTTGAACCTTTTTTTACCCCGAACAGGGCACTCGTATATTAAGTTTGCCATGAAATTTGTAGAGACCGGAAAGAAACTGAACAATTATAAGAAAAGCCTTTTCATTTGACGAAGTTTGACATGGTTCATAACTTAAGACAGTGTTATAATCTCCCAAGAAATTGTTTAGATCCGATCACTAATGCTTATAGCTGTCGTAAACACTAAACGACCGGTATCAAGTGCTTGTATGGAAAACTCCTTCATTATCAAGATATCTTCAAGAAATTTTGCATGGGTTATTGTCTAACTCAATCACGCAATCTCCGAAGTAACCGTTTTTTATTGTTTTATTTTATTCTGCTTGGCCAAATATGTTCCAAATTACTTTTTCGTCTATTTACTTACTACCACTCAAAAATATATAATCTCGTTTCGCAAGTTTCAGACTTCGTTTTTATTATACCATTTATATTTTGCCTCTTCACTATCATCATTATATGTTTACAAAATAACTTAATCCTTTATCCTCTTATTTCCCATAGAGCCACTAGTGGTCAAGTGGGCGCCAATGAGTATCCGGAACATGGACTGGTTAAGGATGGTACGCCATGCGGTACTGATTTGATTTGTCTGAATCAGACTTGCGTCAGCATATTTCCACACGTCGATCAAACCAAATGCCCAACAGATTCACAGGGAAAAGAGTGTTCAGGACGCGGGGTAAGTGGAAGAAAAAATCAATGAACACAGCAAGTACAAAAATTAAGCAGTAATTTAAACTCAAATTGAAAGCGCTGCAGGCTTAACTATATGACTGTTGTTTGAAAATACAAAAAAAAAAGAAGTTATAATTACAAAAATGTATAAAAATGAGCTGTGCGCACAGTCATGAATAGTATATGTGGTTGGACTCATACTCTCATACAAATGTTGCGCTTCACACATTTGAGTATGCAATACAAACAACTAGAGCAGCAGTAATATAATTGTAGTAATTTTATGAAGAGCTTTAACATTATAAAATTTCTGCCACGACTTTATGCAGCAAAGTAGTAATTTTAAAAGCAATTTCACGCCTTGTCGCCAGGCAAAAGGCACTGCTCCTGCACTTGCTCCATACCAGCAATATTTCAAGCATTTTTTCATGTGACCATTTAACCGTTAAAGTATTTAACCCACAATAATGAGCGGCGCGGCAAAAGTGATTACATAGCCGCAGCCTCATTACGGCTGCCCCTCAACATCACGGTCTCATAAGTATACCCACAAAAAAATAAATAAACTGAGAAAACAAAAATATCAATCGCCTGCATGATATTTTAACGACAAATGTAAATCAAGAATATTTGTGGAAAAAATTTGCCATCCCGCGGCGAGGGCAACGAATGTTACGTATACGCCATGGTGGCTTCAAGAGCCAGCAATAATTCTTAACGATGGCGCGAGCTATTCTGACCAACAACAACACGCGTTGTTATGTAATACAAATGACAGATGAATGCAAATATGCATGACTGTATTCGCATTTATACATATATATGTGAAGGGTGTGTGTGTGTGTGTTTTCCTACAGTAATCGCCCAAAATGAGACCGTAAATTCCGTGCAGTGACTCATTTACGGTCAGTAGTGCTGACATACTATCAAACAACAGTTATGTATGCGCCATATAAACTGTAATAACGACAACAAAATGTATAATAACAAAAACAAAGACTGTCCGGAGCATCAAAGTATGAAGTAAAAGCACAAGCAGTTATCTCTGCATACGCACCGAACGCCGACAGAGCTCATTATATTGGGTCATCGCTTGTCCAGCGCTACGTCCGTAATGTATAAATACGCTTAAGTGTAATTAAAAATTTAAAATATTTCCCAAAGCTTTTACACGTAAACACAACAAGCGCCTGATTGGTCGGGTGGCTCTTGTCCAAAAATAAAGCATTTATCATTTGGTCAATGGCTCGCAAGCTGCCTCACTGACTCACTACTTTACCGCATGTCTTCCGGACTGGGTGGCTGGTTGCACGGCTGGTTGCTTTTCTGGTTTATTTGCTCTGCTTGCAGCAGCGTCGTTTCGCCTGTTTTTAATCCATTTTTATAGCTGCGAATTTTAATGGAGATATTGTTTAAATGAAGCTTTCACATTGATTGCATTCATACTTATGTATATGTGTGTGTGTCTGTAAAGGCACTATTAATCTTAGCTGTGTCATACAACTAATGCACATCTAAATATAGATTAGCAGAGTGTCAATTTTACAACGAAAACAAAATATTTATTTCACATTTGCACACACAGGCACACACGTACACATATATACATATTATATATTGTTGTAAATGTATTCAAAGCTATTATTTCATATCATTGCTCATTGCAATTACGTTTTTGTTTATACTGTTTTCCACTTTCACAGGTCTGCACCAACACGAATCGCTGCTTTTGCGATATGGGTTGGGGCGGCATCGACTGTAGCCTTGTAGTTTTACTGACCACACCACTGCCAACGGAAGCGCTGCCAACCGCGGAAAATACTATCAAAATGGAGAAGAAGGAGACGCCATATGGTAAGATGCTTTTGTGCAGATTCTCTTGTTTCTTTTGTGTAATATTTGTCTTCACATGCGCGTGAACACGCTGACAAAAATTTAAATCAAATTTAGCTGTCGAAATCCTCATTTGTCTTCCAAGACATCCATATATATATCTTAAGTGTAACGAGCTTGCCAGGCTTGAGTCTGACTTTAAATTAATATACTAACTGTATCTTTAACCAATTAACTTTGTTTCACAATTCAAGCTTTTCTAATGTGAATAATTTTTGTTCACAAAAACTGCGGAATAAGTTTGTTTTTACTGAAACTAATTAACATACACTTAGTTTAAAATATTGAATTTGAAAGTATTTATATTTTTATTTGCATCATATGGGCAGAATGCAAATCTCAAAGAGCTAAAAACAAATCAATTTTTTTAAAAGAGTATATAGGCATATAGATAATTTTTAATTAAACATAAAATTTTTTAAAATTAATTTTTGAATATTTAATTTTAATTCCAAGATGTTTAGTAAGACAAATTTAAAACTTTATTTTAAATCCCAGACATCTTGAATTAAAAATTGAAAAACTATTTATTAATTAAATAATTGGAGTAACAAAAAAAATTACTTTTCAAGTTAAAAGCTGGAATGCAAATGAATAAAAAGGAAGGATTTACATATTTCTAACTGAAACAGATTATTAAAAATAAATAAATATAAATAAGACAAGAAGAGCTAAACTATGTTAATATGTTTTTTTAAATACACTTTATTTTCAAAAGATATAAAAAATGGTAGAGAACGAAGTACGCAAACGCGTAGAAATTTAAATTCTAAAACAATTTATTTTTTTTATAAGCTTGGGATTCCATTTTTTAAATTTTCCATCTGGATTACAGCAAAAAATAAATAAGTAATCCAATTTTTTGATTATACATTTTTTTTAATTAGGTATTTAGGATTAAAAACTCAAACATTATATTTGGTTAATATTTTCGGTATTACAAGATAAAAAAATAATTTAATTCAAATGTTTATGCAATTACTACTTAAATTCATTATTTGCAACCCTGATACATAGTTAAGTTTAACAAAAAAAAGACAACTTCATAAAAGACTATGTAATATGTAGAAGTTTTGCTAAAGATTAAAATTTTTCTACTGCTTCAAAACATAAGTACGGCTAATAACATTGAATATTTTTTAAGCACAAAAAGTACAAATATACTTGAATCCTAAATTAATACTTAAAACCTAAATTATAAAAAGAAATATTTTTTTTTTCATAAACGTATCATTTTTTTTTATATATAATCCAAAGTTGTGCCATGTAAATTGTTTCAGAAACAAAAAGTTTATATTCTCAAAAATCAGCCAAATATCTTCCGATTGTTCTTATGCTTTGAAAATGCATTCCAACTGCTTTGTATATAAAAGGGTCGATATTAGAAGATGGTTTTTTTTTATTCACATTTTTGTTTGATTTTATTATTAAGTTTTAACTTTCTATAGGGTTCGCATTCTGCCCATTTTAATAGTCAATTCTAAATACAATATAAATCGCTTATATCCATTTACTTAAATGAAACAAATATTAAAATATATATATATATATGTTTCCATTGATATACAAGCAGTGAAATATTGTGTGATATAAAATTCGAGTAATATTAATATATTCTAATAGTGCTTTAATGCAGATTGAAGATTCATCAAAATATTATGAGCCTCCCACCTATTGGGTTTTGAAATGGAAAATGATAGTTAAAATTCGCTCGAAATTTACTCGCGAACTTAAAGTCAGCAAACGATTATTTAATACTAATTTTATATACATTTTAGTTACAGTTTATTTTTGGTAAAAATAAAATCGAAAATCATTAAAACAAAACCCACATATCTTCCTTTTTTCGAGTTTATTATGACAACTTGAAGGTTTCAACCCAACTCTGAACTTTAACTTGTCACTTTAATTACAAATAGTACATAAATTAGTATTTTAGGGTTAAATTGTTTTATAGTAATTATTTATAAATTTTTTAAAGAGTATTTTCATTTTCCCTTGAAAGAATATTTCTACAAAATTTTACTGCTTTCGTATTGAAAACCTTTCCCCCACCCAAATCCGGTTGCGATATGACAATGGTAATCACTTAACAGTATTGCCAAGCACCAATATTATTAAAAAATATAATAAAAGAAACTATTATACTCTGTAGCAACATGTTGCGAGAGTATAATTATAAATCATGTACAATGGCACGGCCAAATCGCTGCTGGCAAAGTGTTTTCGATCATATTATATTTGGTGATTATTTAGTAGTTATATAATTTAGAAAAGAGATATCGGTATTTCAACTGTTTGGAAATTGTAGGAAAAACCTGCTCTTCCACAGGACAGCGTTAGTTACAATATAAATAATTCAATAAGAATAATTTAAATTATAGAAAAAGCATAAAAATTATAATTATGTTTTCATAGTATTTAATGAATTTTTAAGTTTGTGAACGTTCTTCAAATTTATTCTTAGCTGCGTGTAAAGGCATTGTATTTTACTAAGTGTAGTTGAATTTACTTTTTAAATTTACTTAAATACGTTTTATACACAAAAATTTCAAATGTGCATACTTATATCCTAAACGTATGCTTTACAAAATGTTAAACCCTAAATGTATGCTTCTAAGTTGAAAAAAAATTAAATTCAAAATTGTTTAAATTAAAATTTTTACGAAATTTGCTATAAAATATTTGACTTGTGTAACTGGCATTGAACGAATTGGAAACGTTCCTTCCTTCCATCCAACATTTTACAGGCCCCTCAGATCAAAATAGGATCAGCACATTAACCATGGTCATCATATTAACCGTTATTGTGAAATGTGTCTTCATTAGTTTCGCAACTCTGGCGGTTTGCTACAGGTAGAGTACCAAGCAAAATCAAATCAAAATTACAAGAAATAATTAACAAAGACAGAAATTTTATCGAAACATGGAAAAATTTAAAAAATCATTATTTACAGAGTAAACACCAAGAAAGCAAGGAAGGACAATAAATTGAATTTGAAAATTTGTCCACCAATTTAATTAAATATTTGTTTACCAAAATATGATAAAATGAGCTAAACTTTTCAATTTTCAAACTGAATACTTTGAGAAACTTACTCGTTTAGAGCTTTGATTTGCTCAGCATGCCCGCATTGTTGGTGTTTACCCCATTCTAAAATTGTCCATGATTCTGCATTCTGAAAGATTATATAAATGTGAAAAATAACGTATTTTTGCCAAAAATAAGGGAACTCAAAATTATTGTAATTTTTGATATTCCAATTTTCTAGTTAAAAATATAATCTTTTTTCATAATCGAAACCGTTATTTTCACATTTATCTAACGGATAAATACTATTTATAAGTTTTTTTTTTTTTAATTTTCAAATACTCTTAACACTTTTGATCTAAATTCTTTTCAGTTATCGAAATTCTTCCTTTTTTTGATATGAATACGATTTAATTTTTTTTTTTCAACATTTCAAAAAAGTTTTGGCTTAAAATTCTCAAATTTTGGGCTTCATAAATTTAATTGCAATATATATTAGAAGAAAAGTGACGAAGAAATTCACGGCGGACAATATGAAGCAAGACGCAAAGAACAAACGAAAATACAGACACAGAAACAAAACAACACTTGAAAAACAATGAAACTGTATGAAATTCACTCAACCCAAAATCACAATTGAATTAAATGGTTGCTTGGTTTTCTGTCCTCGGTCTCATTTATAAATGTGTGCGTTGCTCTGTTATTCCTCAGTCATCAAAAAAAATATATATATATGTATAATAAAATAACGAACTACAACAATAAGTATGGCAATCATGCTACCATATTATTAAAATTAATACATTTACACGCATTTTTGTAACTAACTGTTTATAGCCAATATACACAAATGTATGTATTTCTTAATTGTATTTCATAAACCTATGTGTGGTGTGTATCTGTATTATTTTAATTTTTATACAGTGTTGCATAAAATGGATAATTCTATGTAATTGTGTGCGTAATTTTTTTTGTTTTATTTTTTATTATATATATTATACTGCATACATATGGCAACCGTGTGGCTACAATTAACATATAGACATATACATATCATATAAAAAATTCCATTTTTACTATGTGTCTAGCAAATATATTTGTGTTAATTTCGGTATTTGTATTCTCTAATGATTTCCACAAATTCTCTTGAAATATTCGTGAATTTAAATTCACTAAAACATATTATCATACATACATATGACAACAGCGAGATATATCTTGAAATATATTTTATTTGCATACATTTTTTTTCCATTACCTCATTATCATTTTTATACAACACAGTTTGCTTTTAAGTTCTGCGAATCAGAGCATGTTCTGATGATGAATAGATGTACCTGCCATAGAAAGAAACTCTTAAAATCGATAATCGAATAGCCGTTTCGGACAGCCACAAAATTTAGTTAATTAACAATATCCTTTAACATCATTGTTGTTTAAAATCACTCAATTGAGCCGTTAAGAGAACTTCAGCAATATAATTCCACAATGTTCTCAATTTTCCATATTATCGAGCAATTTAACATTTGTGCAACTATTTATGCAACAATTGACCGTAAATTGACCAAAATATTTTCTTGTAAATATTTATTGACCCCGCTACTATAAGAGGATTTTACTTTGCTAATGGCAGCGGAAGCCATTCTAGAGTTTATTTTTAGAATCACCATTGAATGTATTTAACAGCATTGCTCAAATTTGTGACAGAAATCGTGAAATATACGTCAGAATTTGGACAACAATGACGTTTGTTGAAATGTATATTGTTGTGTTTAGTAGTATTGAATGGATTTGTACGCTTGGCGTAAAATTACTAGAAATATGTGATACAGATTTTCAAATTTATTAAATGTAATTTCTTCAAAAAATGAAAGTACATATTACTTGAAAGATTTATAAAGAAAGATTTAGATATATTAGACATTCAGCCGCAGCACGGGTTCCAAATTTCACTTTTAATTACTTTCAACAAGCAATGGCCGGTGTGCTTTTGAATGGCAGTTTTCCATTTTCATTCATTTATTATTTATTGATATTTTTGGCAAACAGTTATAAGCATACAAACATACTACAGTACATATATATTGTTGCTAATAGAGAATTTTCGCTTTGCTAATGTAATTTTTAGCCTTTTGCCAATATTCATCGCAATTTATGCTTTCCATTTTGTGGACATCCATGACGAGCATTTTAGCTTTGATTTTATGTTATCAATTTATTTGATCACATTTCATAGTCCCGCGCCACACGCCACATGCCTCATGCTCGTTATGCAACACCAGCAAACGGCATATCAACTGTATCAGTTAAGTTATTTATTTTTTAATTCTATGCAACTGATGATTTGTAATTTTAGTTTTATTTTCATAATTCGCTTTGCAAACTAACACTACGTGCTCTGAAAAATATCGCAAGTTGATTAATAGATATGCTTTTAGTTTTAATTTTATTGCTTTTAAGCGCAAAGTATCTGCAGCAACTGAAAATCATTGAAAATAATTTTGTTGTGATTTCGTGAAGCTTAAAAAAAAATATATTTATATGCATATTAATTCCAATTTTTGTTTTAAAACATGCAAAGTCTATAATCTCTCATTTTATCTAAAAATACAATAATTGGAAACGAAGATATACGATTTTCATAGCATCGGCATTTTAGCGTAATTAATTTTTAGCTTCTTAGCATTAAAATATTATATATTTTTAAATAATTTGACCTTTAAGAAAATAACCTCTGTACCAATAAAGTCCTTAAGAATATTTGTTTTTAATTACCTGATTTGCCAATTTTGTAAGAATATTTGTTTAGCCATAAGGTAAAAGACTTCCACCTTTTTTCTATATTATCTAGTCCCCCTTTCTCACTTATTTTTTATATGTACATATACATATGTATACCTTCTTAAAAGCCCTATTGAGGAAGGATAATAATTAAAATTGCCCATGTACTTGCGTTGAATACAATAACAGAATTTTGTTTTACGGTTAGCTACCGAAACCAGTTTAAAAATAAACTATTATTTGAAAAATCCATTTGGATAAATTATTCCGTTAGAAATGTAGATCAAAATCAAAAACAATGTTTGTTTTTCCGTAAAGATATTCAACGTAATCAAATACCAAACCTCTAAAAATACTGTAGGCAACTATTCTTGAACAGTTGTCTGAATTTGACATTTCTGTATACTATAACAAGGGTTGATAGTAATCGACAATATACTGGCAACGAACGACTGAATTGCCTGCGTTAGGAAAGTTATATAACTTTTATATACTAAATTTGACTTAAGAGTGATTCTCTTAAAAAGTAGATATGATGGAATTTCATATTGTGCCGATAAATTTGCTTCTATGAAGAATAAGTGAACAGCTCTTCTAGCAAGTCAAAAAAAGAAATTCTTCAAATTAGATTTAAAATTAAAAATTTGATAAACAGTAAAATATATTGACTATATAATTTACTTATTAAGTGACTATCGAATATTAGTTTTTTTTCACTTAAAAAATTCAAATTGACTTTGTCTGTCGTATACTGCAATAGCAAATATTAATATTTTCAAACTCGGAAAATCCCAAAAACTGAGGTTAGGTGGCTTATTGTAATGTGGGTTCAGTTTCAATATGTAATTATTTTTTGTCATTTTTTAAACAAACAGATATATTTGTTATTACACTTTAATGGAATTTTATAAATAAATAAAATTCCTATTTCGTTTCTTTCAATTATTTTGCCTTTTCATTAATGCTTAAAAAAAGTAAGTCTTTGCTTAAAAGTAGCGCGCTGTCAACGTGTCATTATAATATTTTAATTGAGTTTCATATTTTTCGAGCAACTAGTTTTCATTACGAAATTTTTATGGCAAAATATTATTAAAATATTTGTTTTTGAAGCTAAGGAAATTAGCAAATGAAAACTGTTTTTTTTTATTATAGCAACACAAATCATCAAATGAAATAGATTTGCACTATATAAACACATACAATAGCACACTGTACATCACTCTCACAACTGTAAGTATGTATCATCTGATCACCGCATCCTAAGAACTCTGTGTGATGTGACCACATGTGTCTTAATGTATTGATCCTATGTCACGTGTAATTGTACCTAATTCGTAATTGTGTATATTTGTGTATAATTCGTATTTCGAAAAATTCAAAAAAATTTTTTTAATTTTATACAAGTTGTATGTACATAACGAAGGATAAAGTACATGCTTTTTATTTATAAAATAAATATGTATATTTATATATATGTACATAGCTATTTATTTTCTTTACTATAACTTTCACAATTTTTTTACATTTATATGTAATATTAAATGCAGTCAAATAATGAAATAACTTGTGCAGAATACGTAATCAGTTGGGAAATTAAATTTTTAGAATTTAATTTTCACAGAAAAGCAGTTAAATGCTGACTATAAAGCCATTACATAGCTATAAAGTATGATTCTACAATGTATTTGCATTATCTAAAATAAAAATTATTCGAAGCTGAACGAAATATATATGGCACATACCTTTGTGCATTTATATACCTATGTATACGGATTCTTTATGCGACACACGTTACGACAATACTTAATACTCCACTAACACATCTGTGAAGTTTTTGAATGCAAGCCAGTTAAATCTAAAGAATCAGCCAGCAGAGAATCCATGTGAAAGGCGCTTCGTCTACGTGCCAAGCATAACATCTGCGTAGAATGGCGAAGCTTTTGCACCAAAAAATAGGCAAATAAACACAACACCAATGTAAACGCCCAAGCGCTCCAAATCATTACTGCTTACACTTGCATATGAGTGGGGAGTCACACATATGTATATACTACACTGCTGTAACATATAAATATGTATATAGCCACTATTTTTTCACTTTTCCCACTGTTCGACCCCACCTTACTCATTGCTCCTTGTCAAATCAAATCACATCACAAAGCGTGTATTAGGGGATTACCATTGTCATAGTAGTTGAGGTTGCTGGTGGAGTTGTTGCTATTGTTATTATACTTGATTAATATTGCAACCAGCAACCACAAACAACCGGCACAGCGGCCGAAATCGCTGCAATCAAACTGAAGTACTCGTATTTATTGCCTACACACGTAGCCATATACGAAATATATAACAATTTTAGTGCCACTGTAGTATATAGACACCTGAGTAACAAAAATCAAAGTAATCCTAGTAAACAAGTCGCGTTAAACTCCACGCTTATTATAATCGCTGCTTAGAAACTTGTTTCCTTGGTGAACAAAATCGAAAGATATTTAATACATATGCCTTTCTACAAATTTACTCCAAAAAATCATATAATATGTATCCCTATATTTTGACTTATGCCAATCAAATGAAATTCTAAACTTTATTTTTATACAAATTGCGCGTCACAAATACAACGTCAACTGTACCACAAACAACAACAACGACCAAAAATCGTCCATACGTCGCTCACAACGCTTCCGGAACAACAAAAATAACAATATGTATACGACGCCTAACCATGTGTGCTACATTTCTTTTTGGTTTTTGTGTTATAAAACTGAAATGCTGAAAACTTTTTCAATGAATATAAACTACACATATATACATATGACATTATATATAAAAAAATGTATCTTTAACATCCACAAATCTATATATCCGCAACCTTGATCCTACCAAAAAAAATATTTAAAAAATTACAAAAAAAATGTTTCAACACCAAATATTTTGTATTCTTTTCACAACCTACCACCCACCCCCACAATAAAAAAATGTATGACATTACACAACAACAAATTAAAACAAAACAAAAATCACCTTACCTGCCATAAAATAACAACTAAAACAATAACAACGTTCACACTCGTATAGAGAACTACCACGGCTCAAATACAGTATTCCTGGTCGGTGTACTAATGTCAGTTGTTGGGTTCGTTTTTGTTACTTTCACCTTGATGGCACTGTGCTACAGGTCAGTTGTAGTACATAGAAACTTCTCCCTGTGTCTGAGGTTAGTTGAAAAGAAGTAATGAAAAACTTAAATCAAGAAAAACAAATACAAAAATACCAAACGCAAAAAACAGTTTCTTATTCTAAAAAAATTAATTTCAAAATTAATTAAAACCAAATTTTATTTGAAAACAAATTTATAAAAACAGTAAAAATCAACTGCAAGCGTTTCGCTAACATTGAAATGCTTTGAATCAGTTAATTCTACTTTTATTTTTTTTTTATGACACTCTTTAGTAATATTTATGCAATGTTTTTTTAAATGTTTACAATAATTTTTTTTCTTATATAAAAATATTTTTTATTAATCATTTAATTTAATTTTTCTACATTATTAATTATATTTTTTAATTATAAAAAGATAATTATTTATGATATATATATATATATAATTTATTTATTTATAAAAATTTATTTACTTAAAACAGTTTATTACTTAAAATTTTTTTTTTAATATTAATTATAATTTTTTTATTATTCTTATTTATATTTTATTTTCTATTTATAAAAAATGTATATTTGTGAAAACTTTTTATTTATTTAAAAAATTTTATAAAATTAAAATTGTTTTTCTTAAAACAAAATACTTTTTTTTTAATTAAAATTATTTTTCATAAAACAAAAAAATATGTATTAATTCTATTTATTATTTTCTTTATATTATTTTATTTATAAAAAAAAACTCTTTTTTTATTGAAAAAATTATTTCTCTTACAAAAATGTATTAAACTCAAATTATTTTCCTTAAATTTTTTTTCTCAGCCTTATTTTTTATTATTATTTTTATATATTCTTCAATAAAAAAAAAATAAAAAATAAATTTATTTAATAAATATTTATTTATGAAATGATTAATTTATCATTTGTAAAAATTATTAATTTATTAACCAACATTTTTTTTTAAATATTTTATGTGCATAAATGTTTTTTTTGACATATTTTTCAATATTTTTACTATTTGCAAGTTGTTATTTTTTTTTCTTTTTCGGTATTTGGTTGTGTTGGTTGCTTTGAACAAATTTTTGTATATGTATACGTACTTAGTTTTACTAATATTATTATTTTCTTTACTAAATCACATAAACAATTACCACTACATATATACATTCAAGACACAATTAAAAATATTACTTACTAGTAAAATTGAAATGCAAGCACTGCTACTAACCAGAGACAGAAGACATAAAAATTAAATACATACATACACATAGGAAAAAGAAGGAAATTACTAACTACAAAAAAACTTAAGAGACGACGGCAAAGCTAAAACGAGTTTTGATTTCTGATTTTGCTGAAAAGTGTGCTACCTTGTAAATATAGTTTGTTGCTTACTAGGTTAACTCTTATTTAATTGCTTTAAAAACTCTATAAATGTGTTAAAAAAATATATATATTCCTTTAAAGTTTAATATTAAAAAACAAGAAGACCCGGTCGTGCTACGACTATATCCAAATAAGAGTGTGAAAGTCTCTCATTGAAAATGAGGGAGTTGAAGAAATAACTCATCTCCATTCCCACTTATATCAGCTGCCAACTTCAAGCCGTAACGCGCTTCAAAATTTAAACTTTCATTTGCTCCATGCGAATGTCACACTACATTATTATGGGAGATATCGCTGACTGATGGAAATATATGACTCAATATGTAATTAACCTTTCTTCAGTTCATACCGAGAACTGTAAATCAATCCAGTTTCTAGCTCCGCGATTTTTAGTGTACATTATAGTTAATTCTAAAATCGGAGACGATGAAAAGAAGCTCTGAGTACTTGTAGCATTGATATTTGCAATTTTGAAAGACTAATTTTAGAATATTCAACACTATCTAGCGACTTTTGCTGAGACTTTTGCTCGAAAGATGATTAACAGAACGGCTTTTGCCGTTAAATATCAATGGCCTCTGTGCATTTAGAACTTTTGAGAGAGATAGATGGAGATAGATGCGATAAGGATCAGTTTCATAAATCACACTAAAGGATAGTTAAAATCACTTAATTTCTTTCTTAAAGCTAAGATACAATATTTTTTTCTCTTTTCCTCTTGTACGGAAACACATATCTCTTAAGCAAAATCAGAAACCAGAAGCAAAGCTGTCAAAAAGTCTACATTTCAATAGCGTCAATAACGCTTTTTTTAATTAATCAAAAAAAAAAAAAAAATCCACAAACACTTAAATTACTCATATAGGTACATACATACAGACGAATTAACGCAGGACTCATTTAATACTCATTCAAGCAGCTTTTTCAATCCACTCTCCACCATATTGTTTTTCTTTTTTTTTCTTCAGTTGTAGTTTCAATTCCAAAATGCAGTTGATAAGCTTTTCCTCTTTCAATAAAAATAAAAACGTCTTCTAAATACTTTCTTATCTAAATGTAAATAGTGTTGTGAAGCACAAATACAAATAAAAAAGTTTTGCTTGATTTTTGTATATTTGTAAATTTCTCTAAGCTTTTATTTCACTATCTAAATAATTCAAACAATTTCCTCAGTGTATGTAAATACATAAATGTGCTGTATTTAATAAAACGTTGTAAAATGTACGTTTTAGTTAATTATTTGTGTGCAAATTTTCAATTTCACTATTTCAACATTTTTCTTTTTCAAGTAACCCAAAGATCTATGCGGAAGAGCTTTTTTTTAAATAATATAAAGAATTTGATCAATTTGATGAAAAGGAAGTTACTATTGTCACAAATAAGAGATTTCCTAATATATATTGCGTTTAGTTTTAAGATAAAGAATTTTAGCAAGTAGTAATGATTATCTTCAAATTATTTCCAATTACTTTTTGAGCTTTCCTAAACTCATTTTCTTTATTTGATTCATTTCAAATTAAATTTTTTGATTTTCTGTATAAAACCTTGACTAGAAAAAATGAAAAAAAAAACATTGTAGCGTCTCAAACTACCCGTAGTTGTGTAAAAAAATTTCAAATGCGAATATTGAAATTTTGTATGAGTTTTTGAACCCCCAAAAATTCGCTACCCAATATCGCCAAAGCGCCTTCAATTCAATGCAACATTTTCGTTAACTCAGCGTACTGACATTACAACAATGCAAGTGGGTTTCATTTCAACAACAATTCAGCGTCTTATACGAGTAATAATACATACAACTACCTATACATACATATACATATATGTATTTAAGAAAAAAATTACAAAAATATAAAATATGACTGACTTTTTTCTGCAAGTGCAGATTTATAATTTCATTTTATTTTTTAATATTTTTATTTATTTTATTTAAAGTTATTTTTTATAAAAAAATCTTCTATTTTATTTTCATATTGTATGTGTCTTACTACAAAACATAATCACGCAGAAACAATAACAACAAAAGCAAACCGCAATGTTCAAACGTGAATTGTAACTTAAAAAATTTTTCATTACTACTTTTTGGTGCCGCTTTTAAATGGCCGAACGCTAGTAAATAATTTTATATAAAAAAACTAAATAATTTACAAGAAATATATATACAAATATACTATATACAAGAAATAGTTGCAGTTGTCAGTCAGCTGTTGCAAGCACGTGTTATTTTCCATAACCAACTAACTACTACTACAATTACTATTAAATGAGCTACAACATAAACAAATATTAATAACAATAGCATCTAGCAATAGCTGTAGGTGTCCTAGCGTTAAACGCTTACATGCAAACAAACATTCATGAACGAATAAATAAATACAGCAGCATTTAATTGTAGTGATTTAGTGGAGAAATCTAAACAATTTCTAGGACTATACATGCATATATACTTTAGTATATATTTATATAGAATTAGTGGATTAGGGTTAATAAATTTTTGTAGCCAATATCTCTATTGGACCCAGCTGCACAGGTTTGTACAAAAACAAGCAGTTCAATCTAGGGATTTTCAGTGGTTGCAAATTGCGTTCTAAAATCATAAAAAATTAGAAACGGTTATTTAAAAACATTGTTCAAAGCAATGAAATAATTGTATATATAATAATACAATAGTTAAATTATATTCGTACAGTATCTATATATTTTACAATATAATAAAACCTAATAAAGAAAATCTCTAGAGTGGCAAAGTTTGCTACAGGGAAGTATTTCTGAAGTATTCTTTATTCATTAATAGATTGAAATTATAATTATTTACTTTCGTATCTGCCTCGCATAAGCAACATGCTTCTTTGATTTCAGTATATTTACCTGAAGTACTACATAGATAATAAGCCGAGAAATCGGACAAAGCTCCTCAACAGACTATAAGTCCTAGTAACACATCTTATCGAAAAAGTTGAAGCCGTGAGGATGTTAATAATTTTCAAGAAACATTATTCTACAAACATCCAAATATTCGTTGAACTTTTCGATTTTTTTAGCCGACATTCTAAAGTTAACAGTGCAAAAGATAATTTAGGACAAGTAGCAGTTGCAGATTTCTTAGCAAGAAATGCTTTTTCTGCTTCGAAAGATAATATCTCCAAAGGAATTAGGCTTTATTTCTTTTTAACTCTTTGTGTACTATTTCAAAAGATACAATTTTTACGCACTGAGTCGAAATATGAGTAATTATTTTAACGAGTCCACAAGTGAGATGCACATCCGGAATCTAATGGTACCCATCGATTACCAATAACCCTTTTTGACGAGGGCTCATTAATTTCATGAAATAAAATTCTACCTTTCAGTTCAATACAACCTTAAAAACAGTTTATAAGGTTGCTTTCGATAGAATTTTGTTTTATGGTAAGAAACATTTCCAAAAGAAAACCCTTTAACACCGAGTAATTTTAGACTTTTTGATACTCTCCATCAAGCGTTAAAGCAACACTCACTTTTCTGACTAAGATTTCTATACAAAGTTTCGGTAATTGTTGGCATTTCGGTCTTGTAAATATTTTTGTAAACTGTGCGCCATCACGTTTCGTTAGATGTTCCGAATTCACTTAACATCAGCTGTTTTTGGCAAACAAAAACAGACTTGAAGAGCGTGAAGTTCATTTGTCTTTGATATCAGTTGGAACTGGGAAGTCCATTCGTTAAACCTAATCTAAAGCCCGAACATCGTGTACTTTCCCTTTAGTAGAATCATTTTGATTTAAGACCGAACATTTTCAACTATTTAACTCTCCGCTAAAGAAATTGGAATTGGAGAAATTGGCTTGGTACACGATTGCAAAATCATATTGCTTAGGGCTGCTTCCTTGACTAATGTATGTAAAAAATACTTAGAAGCAGAAATCCTAAAATATTAATAAGCAAATTAAGTAGAAAACAACTCCAAATTCTTCGAAATACTTCCTTGTTACAGTTAGAAAAATTTCGTAGATCTACTCCAGAATTCGAAACGCTTCGCGTGAGGTTGGTAAGTACACCGCAAGTAGCCAAGGATTAACAGTAGAAACTGAAATTCTTAGTTAAATTTCATATCTGATTTGTTTCGTTTTTTAATGTTTTTTATTTTGGTTTTGAATGTCGCAACTGTGTTTCGTTTTGCAAGCGAGTCGCATATGTTTGTAAGTGTCTCAGTTATAGATGCTCGTGTTTAGTTGGACAGAGGAGCTATTAAGTCTAATAAGCTGTTGAAAATTCATGAAAGTTTTTCCAAGCAGTCAAGAAAACCCAATTTTAGAGTTCCGAGTTTGCGAATTTTTTTTTTGTTTTTGTGTTTTTTTTTGCAATTGGTTTACAGCACGTTTTGTATAGAACTTGAGTTGCTGCTATGTGTGTGTATATATGTAAATAATATGAAATACGTTATTAAGTGTAGTGTATTTATCTCGATGTCTACAACAATAACCACACAGCACACAAAGAAAAAATTAAGAAAATTGGGAGAGCAAAAAAGAATAAGCTTAAATGCAAAACAATAAAACACGCAAAAGCAGACACAAGACAGAAAGCACACACATACGCACTTAGACATTTGACAAGCAGTTAAACACCCACTTACGAGAAAGAAAGATATAAAACAACAATAATATAATTGAAACGTTTCATTGTGCGAGCAAAGAGATAAAGGAAGTGCATGCAGGAGCCTTGCTGGTTGGCATATAATGCCGCGATTTCACTATGCCATTTTTAAGACAAAAATTTTCATGCCAAAACATTTTGGATTGGTGTTTGAAAAATGTCATAGCGAAATTTTAAGCAGTTGCGTTTAACCAAAAAGGCTGCTAAAATGTGGTCACACAAATCTCCTTTCGCAAAAATTAAAAAGAATTAAAATTTAAAATTAAATTTGAAAAAATATTTAATGTTTAACAATCAGCTTAGAGCATTGGAAGAATTTAAATAATAAATACTATAGACTGTCGTTTTGAGTTATGGTGGTGCTTTCTACTGAGCCAATAAAATATAGTAGCGTAATGTGCTGCCGCATTACTAACAGAACATCGTACAAGATGTACAAATAAATGTGTTGATGCCACAATCTGCTGCGCTTGACACCATTGTTTGTATATCGATGTATGAACATTTTCCCGCTCCCGAAAAAATACAAACCCACACAAAATTATTTTTTTATAAAAAACACATTAAAGCTTGAAAAAAAACAAATACAACCATAACTACTAATACACATGCAAACACACTAAATGCTACAATTGCAAACATATATACATATAATACTTGAAAAACTAAAATATCGTATACCGCTTTGTAAAACCACCATCTGTCCCCCTTAAACAAATACCAACCATCCTCTAAATGACCAACAACCGTTAAACTAATCAACAACCGTCTTACCCAATCCAATCTAACTACTTCACAACTTCAACACAACCAACAACAACTAACAACGTTTGTAACTTACAAAAAAATCAAACAACTACAACAAATACAACCAACCAACCAACTAACCGACTTGAATAAACTCGCAATTTGCAATGTGAACTATTAATAAAAAAAAAAATACCAATTGCCTTAAAAAATATATATATACTATTAACTGCGTGATAACAATGACAATAATAACATTTACCATAACAATTGTCATACTGTGTAAATGCCTTGAATTTTGAACAAAAACTTTCAAAACAATACTTTATGTCAATATCTATTTGCAATTGCATAAAAATAATGATAATAATAAAAATAACAATAACATTTAAAAACCACAAATATGCACATAAATTTTCACAAAAAAAAATAATCGCTCATTTCACTTGCCAAAATCGTTAATTGAAAAAAATATATATGTTTATATTTTCCAGGTATAAAAACATGTTTGATTATAGCTTTTGCCCTAGAATAATATAAAAAACATTTTATTTTCATTTAACAATGTCAGTTTTTTTTAAAGCGTGTGTAAGAGATTTTTATTGTTATTGCGATTGTTTGCTATAGTAGTCAAATACTTTTAAAATTAACCACAAATATACTGCAAACTAATTCGTAAAGTTAAAAAAAAGTAAAAACGTCAACTTCGGTGACACCGAAGCTATAATACCCTTCACTGGTGCATTTCTTATAGCAACTATATGAATAACTAAATTTGAAAACGCAAAACGTGTTGTTGGTTTTTTCTGAACACATTCTATAAACAACTTTCAAGTCGAATGAAGGTTACTTTCTTTTATGAAAATCTTTATTTTGATTGTGAACGGTCAGTTTGTATGGCAACTATAGCTATAGTGGTCCGATATCGTTTCGACAAATGAGCAGCCTCTTAGTGAGAAAAGGACAGTTCGTGGACAAACGAATGGTTAAATCCACTCAGCGTGTCATACTGATTATTTATGTATTGTATATATTTTATAGGCTCTCCGAAGGCAAACTTAATATACCCTGTTCAGGGTATAAGTATATAGATTACAAAACGCGATATCGACTCGATTCCCACACCCCGTATAAAATCATAACAAGCCGATATAATCTAGATCACTCTTCCTATCTGTCAAATCCAGGTTTTTGCTGTTTTTATAAACTATTTAGCTATTATATTATAAGATTTTGTATTGAAATCCTGCTTTTTCAAGCTTTAACAAACCTTGAAGAACCACATAGTAAGTTTTGAAACTTTTGTTGTAGAAGCGAGATTATGACAACTAAAGAGAAACTTTCGTTTAACGAGCTTTTAAAAATATCGATCAAATACCCATATAATTTAGATCTGGGATGGAAATATCATATAAAGATGGGTCAAATAATTATAGGAATCCAAATTGCAATCAAAAGTTTGATGACTAATCTCTCGTTCAACCTGCACCCGTATGTGTACCTGTCAACATATCTAGAAACCATAAAACGTGGTCCGTACCAACATATTTAACAGTTCTATGTAGAAAAGATTCTGGTTCTGTTGTTGTAATTATTACTTGGATCATATTTAGTAGTTGAAATTTTTGTTATCGTTTTCATCAAAGCCAAGTTCTAGCATACGATTGCGTGAACTCTCACAGAAATGGTAGGCTAAGTCGGTCAATAGTGCGAAGATAAATGGGGTTTCACGAGCAACTTAAACTCATTGTCTACTACAGAAATTAAGATGAATTGTGCAGTTGTTTCATCAATTGCTAACCCAGGGCCTACAATATATTGGGACTGGAACTACAGAGTTGTTCTTTTAGTAGATTATTGGATCTTCTCTACATGCTTTTCAGCTGTTAAATTTATAAATTTTATCACTGCATTAATTTTCGATATACTATGTCTTCACCTTAGGCTATGAACATAGTGAAGTATGAAACAAAATAGCGGAAAGTTGCAATATTTGTTCAGTGGATTCACAGAATGTCACTGTTGTCAATGTTGAATTGTTCGTTTCACGACCTACAAGACTCCACATTACTGTACTATTGTACATTGAATTCGTCGCTTCACTGATCTTTCTTCACTCCACTTTGCCATCAGTCTCATTCTGCGAACTAGTCACACTTATTACTTGGTTCCTAGATTGTGTAGCGATGTGTAGACGCACGCATAAGGCTCTTGGATCCATAAAACCAAGGAAGGAGAACATTACCGCAATGGCACCTAGCAAGATCGTGGAATTTATCAGTGCGATGAGCATAGGAGAGTACTTATAAAAAGAAGAGGGCACAATAAACATCAGGTTCTCCTAAATTTAATTATATTCTACTTTATTATCACTTGTAAATTTCAGTTAACTTCTTTAGTTACAAAAAGATACATATTTTCAAACTGATGCAAAATAAAAATCTCTTACACTATTATCTTTGAAAATTTAACATAAAATTGATATTTTTTTTAAATGCAAATTTAGTAAACTTAAGAAATAAAATTTGATTAAAATTGTTTAAATTACAACGGTATATTAACAACGCTTTAAGTTTGGTTCTATTTCTTATGCAATTGGTTATAAACTAAGAAAATATTGAGTGCAAAAATTCAAAATGCGAAAATGGATTAAAAAACTAAAATGTTTAAAAAGAAAGGGGACTTTGCAAGATAATATTAGTGCCAGCTTAGTGCATATGCAAAATAATTTCCGGTTTACAATTTTAATTTTTTTAGTGTTTGCAAAATTTGGTTTATTTTTTCATTTGCCTTGGCTTTTAGTCTTTACTTACTTATGCCAGTGTGTCCAGCATTTAATTTTTATCTTAATGCAATTATTTATTAAACTACTAACAAGCGCACATTTTATGATTTCTCGAGAAGATATATACAATTCTTCAAACGTATATGCAATCTATTAGCATATATAACTATTAGTGCATATTTACACACGTAAACTATATACATACTTACTTACAAACATACATATTGACTGGGTTGAATCATTATATGAATATGAATGATCGATTTTAATCAAGCTCACATTTTTTTATTGTTGTTCAAATTTTTCATACAACCACAAACCAAAAATAAAACGTACATATCTACCTACGTACATATGTTTACCACTCGATCAAAATCCGAAAACTATTAATTTGCTAATTAAATCAACTATCATCGCATCACCAACAAAAACCAATAAATTTTCAATCAATCAAAAATTATATATAAATTTACATAACCAAATATATTATGACATTAATATTTGCGAAATACCAAACAAAATCAAACCATAAACAAATATAAATTATCAAAATGAAATAAAAACCGCAAAAAACGACTTTTATGTAAATGCCTAAACATAAATAAAACTAAATTATTTAAAAATCAAAATGCATGCTCATGCATAATTAAAAAATAACTCAAAAAATAATAATATTCAATATAAAATGAAATTTAAAAAATGAAATAAATGGTTCAATGGATGTGAACGTGGCTGCTTGATGGATGGAAACATGATGACAACAACAACGACATTGATGGGAACTTGTATGATGTCGGTAATTAACAATAACGCGGTACACGCCTGCAACACAGACGCAAAACCACTACACTTAAGTACGATCCGCCATATTCGAAAAAGCCCATCGCCAAGGGCTATGCCAGCGCCGCAGCCACTGCCGCAAATCATCACTCGGTCGAGGAGGTTTCACTGGACGGTTCCAGCAAATTAGTGTACGCCAATCAGGCCGGCTTCAGGTGGGACACAAAAATCAAAAAACATAAATGAATTATATATTTTTTAATACAAAATATGATTTTTTTTTATAAAATTTAATTTTTTAATTTCAGGGATAAAAGCATACATGGTCGCCGTTATACCGGCGGCGGTGAGGACGATCAGGCCCATTCTGGTATGTACCCACAGTCAAAGCTGATTGCCTTTGTGCCAAACAATCAATTGTACACTTGTCTAAATTGCATTCGTTACTAAACTCGCATATTATTTTCCTACTAACAATAACAATGAACTCTTTATTCCTACAAACATATATATAAGTACCCATTACACAACACACACCAATGCCACTTGTTGACGTTCCACCTAATTGTGCTCAGCCCTGATTAGTGTTGTTAGTTCCAATAAGAGAAAAATTAAAAATAAGTCATAAAATTCAACAAATTACAATTACAAATACAAATAATACTGTTAATTAAATGAGTCATGTACTCGTATTTATTGTATACATACCTACTAATATATAGTTCAAGTACATATGTTGTAACTTCTACATACCAACTACATACTTAAATACCATATACTACATAACTAACAATTAGTTAGTGCTTGCTGTGCCGTTATAAATAAATATTGCAATTACAATTACAATACAGTTACGTCGCATTCAATGTTTTTGTGAGTTTCGATTTAGTACTTACTAAACTTTAGCCTAGTCTAGTCTGTTAATTGTGATTAAATGCGCTTCAAATTTCTGCTTACAGTTTTGTTTTTTAATGCAACATAATTGAAATTCACTTCAAATATGTCAGAAATATAGTAATTGAATGGAGTTGTATTGGCAGCAAACGCCTTAAGCTTGGACTTTATGAGAAAAATGTGTATTAACTTGACTTATGGTTGGATATTCCATTCGAAATCGGACTCTTAATCCAATCCAGTAGGATCTGTATTACACTTTCGAGTGAATTTCGACTAGCAGTACTTCAGATTTGAAGTGGTTGGCAAAATTATTCACTCGAATGTGAGGCACAGAACCTGCCAGAATATTATTTTGTTTTGTTTACTTACATTAAAATATAATTTTCATTATATGAGAGTATTTATGGTAAATATTTACATATAAGGTTGTCAAATATCTCCCTTCCGCTTTTTTGTCTTTTGAATTTCGCGGCTATGTACAAAGCGCTACAGAGCTCGTATCTGGCAACACTATACATAATTTGAAAGGTCTTGACATAACCTACAAAACAACGCTATGCATGATTAGTTTGGATATTGCGTTCAACAGTTATAGACGTGTAAACATGGAGTTCACTAACGCCGAAATTCGCGCTATTTTAAAGTTTTCCTTCGTTAAAGGCAAACCCACTAGAGAAACGTTCCGTGAGATTAATGGTGTTTTGGGGGATGGTACTCTATCACTTCGAACCGCGGAGGAATGGTTTCGACGATTTAGAGCCAGTGAAAACGACACCATGGATAAGCCAGCCGGCGGAAGACCTGTGACGACAAATACCGATCAAATCATGGAATACATCGAGTTAGACAGGCATATGGCATCTCGTGACATCGCCCAGGAGATGGGAGTTAGTCACCAAACCATTTTGAACCATCTGCAGAAGGCTGGATACAAAAAAAGTTTGATGTTTGGGTGCCGCATAATTTGACGCAAAAAAACCTTCTGGACCGATATGCTGCTGAAACGGAACAAACTCGTCCCATTCTTGAAGCGGATTGAATTGATCACATACGACAATATCAAGCGAAAACGGTCGTGGTCGAAGGCCGGTGAATCGTCCCAAACAGTGGCCAAGCCGGGATTGACGGCCGGGAAGGTTTTGCTGTGTGTTTGGTGGGATTGGAAGGGAATCATCCACTATGAGCTGCTCCCATATTTAATTAATTCTACCATCTACTGCGAACAACTGGACCGCTTGAAGCAGGCGATCGACCAGAAGCGTCCAGAATTGGCCAAGAGGAAGGGTGTAGTGTTCCACCAGGACAACGCCAGACCACACACTTCGTTGATGATTCGTCAGAAGCTACGGGAGCTCGAATGGGAGGTTTTATCGCATCCACCATATAGCCCGGACGTAGCGCCAAGTGATTACCACCAGTGGCAGTCCGAATTCTTCGCAAATAAGGAGGGGGGCTTCTACGAGGAAGGTATTATGAAGTTGCCGTCTAGATGGAAACAGATCATCGAACAAAACGGCGCATATTTTAACTAAATCCGATCACTGTAACACTTTTTATAAAGCATTGAATGAAGAGCAAAAAGGCGGAAGGGAGATATTTTTAATAATTTTACTAATCAAGTGAGACCAATAATTATTAATTAGTTAATTAATATCTATATTATGTAGGCATGTAAGGATGTATAGTTCGATAAAAAAAATTTTGTTGGATTGGTACAACCTTTTTTTATGTTCTTGTGAAGTATTATTTTCAAGTATTTTTCAGTTTCAAAAACAGAAAATCTCACTGGAACCAAATTTGGTAAATGCGGGGCTGAACCATAATTCTCGTTTCGTGTTTGCCAAATGTGACACCGCATTCAGGTCTTTTTGAACAAGTCTAGCATTGAGACGCTTCATATTCAAAACATTGACGAAAATGTATTGAGTCGAACCATATGGGATGTTGAGTTACTCCGATATCTCTCTGATGTCAACACGACGATTTTCAAGAACTTTTTAATTTAACTTTTTCAATGTTATTGTCATTGACAGGTTAAACGATTTGCTTGATGCTGAATGCTTTATGTTACTCAAATAAACTATTTATAATTATGCCAGAATCGATTTCTGAACTTTGGATACAAAAATGATGCTTCAGGGCATCAATATTATGTAAAAAAGTTACTGAGCTCCGACATCTTTTGCACTGCTAAACCATTCTAATAACATCTAGCTAAACTTTTCTACGATTGATAGATATATTTATAGGTCCCACTATCAGTGGCGTCCAATTTGATCAATATTACTTACGTATATGAATAATACCGCTATTTTTGGAATGACCCAGAGCACCTTCACCGACATTTTAACAGCTCCCAATATTCTCGAGTCACTACATAAGTTATGTTAAATCCGATGTCTTATACAATGAAAACTGATTGAAATATGTGCGTCTAAAAAAATCTGCAGAGGATAATTTTTCAACCTTATTTCTTTTACTGTGCGAAGTTCATTCACTGTTCTTTCGTCTATTCCTTTTTCATCTGCTAAGAGATTATTTATTCAAAAAATCCTCTCTGAATATATGAAGGAGTTTTTTCAAATGAGTTGAAGCTCGAATGCTAGTAAAAAAATTTCTCAGATGTCACTTTAGTCTTGACCCTTTCCTAAAACCTGGTATACTTATCATATTGTTGAGACAGGATTAGTCATTGTTAGATACTTAAGTTTTAAATTATTGTATTTAATTTTCTTGGGGTACGGATTTAAATGGAATGTCCAGAAACCTCTGTTAGTACTTTCTTGTTTTTGGACTATCTTCAACTTACTCTTGGTAATCTTCTTGACTAGTCAACGAAATGCGCAAAAAAAAACAATTAAATTTACAATGATTACACTACCATAATTTGCACTGCTTCGTTCATTTTAATGAACGTCAGCCTAATTACTCCTTGCACCTAAAGCAGCCTCAGCTGCGCCGCTCGCACTCGCACTTTCACACAGTGGCCACAGTCAATTTAAATTAGACAAATACTATATTGCTGATTTTTTCTTTCCCAATAAAAACACGTAAACGCGCCAACAACAACCGCGAACCGCAACAACACCGCCCCAACAGAAAAGGGCATATTGAAGAAGCACAGCTACGGGCTGGTGCACAATGAACAATTGAAGGATAAATGGGGCGACGATGTACAGTCCGACAATCTCGAGCTTATAACACAACAGGACGGTGCACTCGGCGCTTCTACCAGCGGCGGAGCGGCGGTCTCCGAAGTAGAGCGCACCCTCAAATCGCTCAACGGCTATCACGAAGACATATTGGAGGCATTGCGCAATGCGGCCTCACATCGCGGCACCGCCACCGGCAACACGCCCGTCGGCAGCGGCAGCCTAAGCGAAGAGATGCTGCGCAAAACACTGCAAGACTGCCAAAGCGCACAGCTGGGCTACAGTGTGGAACCGTACAAGCGCTCCAGCGGTTCCAAGTCGAGTTCACGCGAGAACATCTGCGACCCGGCACAAGCGCACATGCTGATCGAAAGTGCGGGCATTGGCGGGCATGCCGGTGCCATATTGCATCATCATCGGTCACAGCATCAATTACATCAGCCCCCACCATCAATACAGCAACAACAACCGCCGCTGGACGATGATGATGCCCCATCGACCGGGCCGTTGCGCATACGCAATCTGGAGGATCTAATACGACAGCTGGAGCATCATTCGTCGCGTCACATGAGTCCTAGCGGCTCCGAGGACATTCGAATGTCCGAAACGGAGGCCGATCGCCATTATAGATTAGATAGTTCTGCCGCTTGTAGTGAATCGTCGCAAGGGTTAGTAATCATTTGAAAATGCAATGTGTGTTTAACATATTCGATTTCGATTACGATTTTGTTTATGTTTTTTGCTGATTTTTGCCGATTCGTAATGAGCGTTAAATGGATACTGTTTATTACATATATTATGCTTTGATTCGACTATTTATTCAGTATTTATATATATACCTATATATACACATACTACATACTCGTACTTAAGCATTATGATATATCGATATACCTTCTTTTTAACTTTTTTTGTGTTGAACCGAATTTTGTATGTTGGGGCTGTAGGTGCCTATTTTTGGTTAGAAAAGAAAAACGCTTCAATTAACAGCAACTAACTAACTAGTCCATATATGTATTTGTTCTTAGGTGATCATAGTTATTTGTATAACTGCTCATGTGTATGTATGCGTGTATGTGTGTATGTATGTTTGTGTGTGTTGCTGCAACCCGCTTTTACTTGCTGCCACATAAATATGTCGTACTCCTATAATATTTACCAATTTACTACACATATTAAAAAACTTAGTCGTAATTTCCAGTAGCGAAGCAGTGAAAAAAATTACAAAATGGAAATAAAAAATTATTTTAAAAACTAAAGCAACAACAAAATGCACTGATGAAACACATTGCACTTAAATTATTTGCAACTCTTAATATTCTTTCAGGATTTAGACTGGAATATCTGGTGTGATAAAGGTTGGTTCCGATTTGATACTCTAACGCACACACTCTCGCTCCACTTGCCTGATGCTCATTGATATACACTAGATATATTATATATAGTATAACTAAGTTATATTTGAGTAGTTTTACTATATTCAAAAATAGGCACCTACATATATTTAACCCTTATTTGAAGATTGCTGCAATGAAAATCGCATTCCTTTTGAATTTAATAATTTATATTTTCTCTTTCAAGAGAATTGGAACATTTTTTAAGTAATTCGGCATCATACTCGTATTTGTCCATGTTGAATATTTTTGGAAGTTATTCGATATCATATACATATCTCTCCATTATATATAAAAGTTTTCTGCTGCTGTCGAGAATCAACTAACATAAGAGCGAGCTAGCTCGCGCTCGGCGCGGGGCGGACGTAGGCGAGCGAGCGAAGCGAACGTCCCGGAGCGCAGCGGAGGGCGCCTATGTCTATATATATTTATTTATGTATTCAAAATTCGGAAAATAATAATATTTGTAAAAAAGTTAAAATATTTATTAGCAAAAGGGTTAATGCAACAATATCTTGAAGGATATGCTAATTTTTTTCATGTGATTACTCAGTCGTCCATATTGACCCCAAAAATCAGAACCAGTTTAATCTGTGACGTTATGGTGGATAAATTTTAGGATTTAATGAATTTACCTTCTAGAATCTTTCGATTAAGCTATTTTTTCAGATAATACCGAATATTAAATAAATCACAGATTGAGAGGTATTAAAGAAACTTATGGCTTATCATACCCTTCGCAGAATTCTCGAAAATTTTCTATTTTAAATATACAACAAGTGTCATACTTCAGATTTTCAAATCGATCTGAAATAAAACAATCAAAATAATATTTTCTAACAGAGTATTACCCTTAACAACTTGCTTCTGAAGCGAGAAACCTATAACATAACATAATATCAGAGAACTAAATTTTTATTTTCAGGGCAAATATATTTATTTTGTAATACTGATATAAATATATTTTGAAAAAAAGTATTGACTAAATCAATACCCCTAGTACGATGTAAATTTCTAATTACCTCAAGAAATTACAACCAGCTTAGTTTTCGAGAATATATAATTCAAATTTTAGTATTGATTTTCTAACAGATCATACCAAAAAGCGATTTTCATTGCAACAACTTAAAAACGCGTACAGATTTCGCAATTCCATTTATTTGTTAATGAATCAAACTTTTATTTTTTAATTCACCACTTTCTATTTTCCGTAAAAAAAAATTCTTAATAATATTTTTGTTGTTTTTTTCGTGTGTGTGTATGAGTTAACGCGTGTATGTATATGTATATGTATGTACATATGTATGTAATTTCATTAACATATACCTACATATGTATGTGTTGTATTCGTCTCTGTTGAATCGCAGCTCAAATCAGCAATTAGCACAATCACAGAAAACTGCAACAATACATCCGTCTTACAGCAGTCGTTTGCGCCCGCGCTCCGACGAGGAGTCGCGCTTCGCCTACGGAAGGTACAGACATCCACAAGCAGCTAGTAGACATCCATCGCATCAATCGCATTCACCTCATGCTTTCGGCCATCATACGCATCATTCGCACGCCCACGGTCATGCTACGCACGGCCCACACTCATCACATCACTCGTCGCATACACACTTGCACCAGGACGACGAGGGTATATACGAGAGTGCCGACCATCATGAACGTTCGGTGGTTGAGGCACGTCTCGATCCGCGTGAGACACCCGATAGTGAGAGGTAGGTACTCGTTACATTCACTTTCGCTCACACACGCTCTCCCTCCACCTATATATATATATATATATCTATGTCTCTATCTATATCCCAGCCGCCAACCCATTTATCCCATTTACAAAAGAAACACCTAAAAGAGCAAACCGTTCCTCTCAAACCTCGTAAACAAAATTTAAAACAAAATTTAAAAACATATACCACAATGCACAACTTCCACAAAATCCACTTTGTTAAAACTAACATTCCCATCCCAGTCCATTAACTTAATCACACATACCTATGTATGTAGTTAGTTTCCCAAACTCATCTCCACTTCCTATTCTCCTCAGTCCAAATGACCGTAAACACTTTGTAGTACTCCCACTGTCGCTTGCAAACTCAAACGCTATCCAAATTCCAATTTGACTTAATTTCTGTATTTCATCCTTTAACCCATGCGTACAGTCTCTGGCTGACGTTGTCCACCCTTTTCCAGATATCCAATGTCCTACACTGATTTTCCACATCCAGCCAAGGCAATCAGTTCGTACAAACGACCCTTTACCTGAATTGATATCCCAGTTTATAAACTCTTATTTTTTGAGACATACTTATGTAATTATTATTTAAATATTCACCTGAATTCGATTCGATTCGTTTGTTCTCTTTATATTTTTCAAATTTACCACAATTTCAGTTGAAACTTCTCCTTTCTTAATTAACTCGCTGTACGTAATTGTAGTGGTAGTGTTGTAAAGTGAAAACAAAACCAGCAAAATCACAAAACAAACCTATAAAAATGAAAAAATATATTTCAACTTTTATTGATATTTTAAGTACTGTAAAATACACTTGAATTGTAATAAGTCATTACACATTAACCTAAGCAGCTGTACCTGTACATTAAATGCAAATTAATAGTGAATATTTTGTATGATGCTGTATGCTAATGTTAGAGCCCACAAACCGGAATGCATTCCATAATTAAATATATAGTTAATTTAGTACAGTTATTTACGTTCCTTTAAACGCGTGAAGAGATCTTGCTTTAAAGATTTTGAAAAGCAAAAATTAAATATATAATTATTACCCCTTATTTTAAAAGTTCCATAATTATGTTACTTACATATTTGTGTCTCCCTTTTTACATGTGTCTCCCTTTTACCCTTTTTCCATTTTAGTTGTTATTAGAACGCCCCTACTACTATTATACTAGATTTATTTTTCGTGTTATGTTTTGTAGGTAAAACTAAGTTGGGGGATTAAGTACTTATTCTACAACTAATCCAGACCTTTATAAATACATAATCTGATTGATTTATTAAAAATGTAACCAAAGATCTTTGAGTATCTATCGGTATAAATTTAATAACAATAACAGCAGCTTACTTCAGAACTTCAGACATACACGGGACCAGGACTTAAACTCACATTCCATCGATAACAATTCATTCAACTTATTCCTTTTAGTATAGGACCCTATTAAAGACTTTGTATTGGACTGAACAAAAGAGTGTAAACAAAAGGAAAGGGTTTTGAAACTTAAACTGGATTAAAAGTTGTCTTTTACAATTCTATACCTATATCTAAAATATTGATTATTACTTCGGCGTATTGAACTTTAAAATAAAAATGTCAATATAGTTCACTTTGAAAAGAATTTTGAACTAGTAATCAGCTTTCTGAAATCTTATATTGTTACCACGAATAAAACAAAAGAAAGTATCCAGCCAGTTACGAAGTTTGAATTATACTTTAATGTTTCTGAGACTCAAAGGATCTATCTCTTATTCTTCACAAAAGTCTCACTTATCAAGGTAAAAAATAAATCTCAAAAACAACCTGCTTAACGAAGTTTGTAACACCGACAAAGAAATGACGTTACAAGCTGAGTCGATTAAGACATGTCCGTCTGTATATACGCAAACTTGTTCCTAAGTTTTTGAGATATCGATCTGAAACGTCCTTTTTCCTAAGAAGCGGTTCATGTATATCAGGATATCGCTGCTATACAAATTGATCGCTACGTCCTTATTATTAAATCTTTTTTATTTTACAAGATACCTGCACGAAATATGGCACAGATTATTGATCAAAGTAAGGCAATCTCCAAACATATTATTCAGAACGGACAATTAAAGCATATAGCTACCATGCAAACTAACCGATCGAAATAAAGTTGTGGTATGAAAAACTTTTTATTTGTCATGATATGGTTATTTATATTAAAAAAATTTTATTGAAATGAGTGCCAGATAATATTAGAATACCTGAAAGCTTAAGAAACCTGTTTTTTTTGCCACACAATCATACACCACAGCTTAGATAGTATAAAATGTTATGTTTATAATACTCAAGTAGTCAGGACATTTTTATAAATATTCATATTATATTAATTTAGTGTCATATTTTAAATACTTCCCGTGCATCATACTTACTTGTCTTCACTTAGTTGTTTGTATACCTTCACTTCTACAACCACCATCTCATATCATTCATTCAGTGACCCACAAAGCATGCATTAAAATCCCCATCTGAGCTGTCACCTCTATAGATATCCAAGCAATTCATGACATTAAACTTTGTTTTGAATACTGCGCACTCATCTTTGCAAACTGTCAGCATCCTCAGTTGATTTGCCGATGTTTACCTATCTTAGTTTTATAAGTTCGTTAATTTACTTATATTACATTAGTTTATTACAATGGTATATTCACCTGACTCTAACCTCTACATCTGCATTTTCCTTCTCATACATTACCGATCTGACATACATTTAAACTCATTCGCTCATTTTTGTCGACACCTAAAATCACATATTCATCAAATATGGCATCCCATTATTTATTTAGAACATGGCCAGTAGGAAATTTGCGACTAATTTATGCGCCTTCTCATTAACGGTAAATTTTTTTTGAAATATAACACTCTAAACAAGTTGTTATTTAAAGAAGCTGATTTGAATATATTGTGAATTCTTTTAGTATGCAAGGGGTAATGTGCTGTTGGCTGGACTGTACGGTTTTGAACTGTGGTAGAAAGTTGGATTTGAAAAAAAGTTTTGTTTGTAGCTGATATTAATCTTTTAGAACGCATAGATTTTTTTTAAACATTAACTTCTCAAAAACACACCACAGCTCTATGCATTACCTTCAGTTTCCTCAAACAATCTACCTCTTTTGTACCGAGGTTGTACATATCATGCATTATGCAATTCCTACTGGTTCGTTGTATACTCCATAACACTTCTACCTGTTGTAAATACATACTATACACCGAAATTCACTAAATGTCATTTATAAATGCACATATGGTGTAATTACATTCATAAGCATACCAATGTACATATATACATACATACGATATACTATATATATGAATGCTATTCATTCACGTTTGTCTGTATGTGGATTGTGATAATCATTAATTGGTTTTCGTTACTGTTTTCTTTGGTCTCGTTTCTTTCGTTTTGAATTCGTTCAATTTTCTGCATTCTACGAATATTCTTTTATTATTTTACTCTATGCAATTCACTTATTTTACAATGCATTCTTGCCTGCCATTCTATTAAAAATTCTATTGTTTTCTTTAAATTCTTTTTGGGGTTATTCTTCATTTTATTTAAAAAAAAAATTGTTTATCGCAACCATATTCCCTTTCGAATTAATCCACTGTTATTTAACTTTGATTTGTTTATTTTTACACACTATTTTATACTGCATTTCACTTTTTTCGTTTGTGTCGCATTGTATGCATCATCGTTTTCGTTTTACACACTTAACACACGCACAATTCTACTTTCATCTTCGTTTCTTATCGTTTCGGTCGTTTTTCCCTTCGGCTTCGAATACTTTATCGTTTTCTTTCTTTTCGTTCGCTTTGGTTCGCTTCTGCTTCGGCTACGTCCTCATTTTATCGTTTCGTTTGCTTTATTTCGCTTTGAATTCGGCTTCGTTCTAATTATTTCGTTTAACATTTCGTTTCGTGTTCGTTTTTTCATTTCATTAAAATTCCCGACAACCCGTTTTTTCTTTTTGTTATTCCGTGTACCGCTGTTCCTGTTATGATTATTATTTTCTAGTGATGACTTTATTCAAGCTCAACAACAGTTAGCCCGGTGGGCGAGTGAGGATGTGGTATCCGTCGTGGTATTGGATCAACCGCAATCCGGCACAATGTCGGATTCCCAACAATCCAGCGGCGTCGGACCAATGTCAACGGCTACAACGAGTACCGTTATACATCATCAACACCCGCACCAGCACCACGGCGATCATCCATCCTCGGCAGCGGCCTCATCAGCAGCAGCGGCGGCGGCGGCGGCGGCAGCAGCAGCGGCAGTCAACAGCAACTCTATAATGGGTTTGGGGGTCGTGCCAAATGGTATAAATGTAAGTCAGAGGGACTATTACCCCTCGCCACCCTCAACGGAGACGGAAAGCAGTGGAAGTGTTATCCAACCGCTCAGCCGTCGTTTGCCTATACCAGCCGATACCGGCCAACAGCAAGCGCAATTTCAGCAACTGCACCAACTGCATCAGCATCATCAGCATCAGCAGCAGCAGCAACTGCAGCTGTTACAGCAGCAAGGCGACACCACCAGCAGCAGCAACAACAGTCAATCAGGACAAATAATGGAGAATGGTCGATATCCGGAATATAAACACTGATGATAATGTCAATGCCTACAGCAACAAACACAGCAGCAGCAACAACAACACTAGCAATAATAAGAATAGTAAACACCACATAACACATAGTCATAAGTGGTGAAAGCTAAGCGAAAATCAAACGGAAAATCCATTTTTCTAATGAAAATTATGCGAACAACTTGTTGCTGTGTTGGCTGCAATTCGCGAATGCAACACGAAGCAACCAAAGATGCCTAACTGGCATTGACAGCTGACCATTTGTTATTGAGGCCTGAAAAACGAATAAAAAACGAAGTACTTCGCGCTGTTTAACAAGCATAAACGAACGAACAAAGCGAGCGAGTAAGCGAACAAGCGAACGCGATATCGACCGAAGCCCAGCAATGTGATTTTATACAAAGTAGCATTTTAGGTTATTCAATTAAAGAAATTGCAAACGAAAATGATTTGGTAATATTATTAATTTAATTATTTAAATAATGAAAAGAAAGCAAAAAAATGAAACAAAAACGACTCAGAAATAAAATCTAAAATAAAAAGTAGACTTAGCCAATTTACAAAAATAACAAAAATATAAAATAATATTAATTGTGTGCACTTGAAGCAGTTGAATCGTGAATTTATTACAGCAAAAAATAATGTGCAAATTGGCGCAAAGAATTAAAACAAAAACCAAAAAACAAGAAAACGAACGCAAATCGTTTCGCTAACTAATTCGAGCAAGTACATGCCCACACACAAACACATACATGACTAAGTATGTATTTGTAAATTTTGTTACTCACATCCATTGTAATTGTACATATGTATGTATTGACTAGCATTATCGATAAGTTCCACAAACTTCTTTGTACTATGCATATGTATGTATGTCTGTGTGTATGCCCCGAAGCCTATGTGCTTAAACGCTACATAAGTATACTCGTACATGCATAGTATATACATATATATAGATCCATCGTACCCTAATCGCATTGCACATAGCTGTATTTTACGCGTATATATATATATATATATATACTTATTACCATCACAACACACACTCACATATATATGTACACATGTACGTCGAGTAGAAGTGTACGAATTTGCCAATTAGCATTAAGCCAGCATTGATGTTTCTAACACACACGCGTATATGCTACACATATACAACAATACATACACTATAAGCGTATTGGCGCATACATAGGTATTTGGGTAATATATTCATAGAGTTCTTGTAGTTAGCGAATGCAAATGGAATTATGCAGAAAAAGACGATAGTAACAAATTAACAAATAAATCAGCATAGACTAATGAAAAACTGAAAAATTAATAAACTGTATAGACCCAAAACATCATTCACATACACACACATACCTTGGGGAAAAAATATAAAATAAAATTGTGCAAACTTGACAGTGACTACCAACTGTAATTACATAGGAATTATGCTTAAATAATCTCAAAAACTGCATTTTCTTAATGCCTTTCCATTAATTTGCTTTCTGATATTAATATTTAGCACTATGTTTAGTTTTTGTTGTACAGCAGTAGGCAGCTTTATAATATTTTCTGATAAGGAAAAATAGAATCCCAGAATATTATTCTATTTT